TTTCACATTAATGTAATAACCTTGTAAATTGTTAGGTTTATGCATACTCATTCCCTACGAGTAACTTGTTTACTCACCCCAAAGTTATCGGGTTGTTTTCAGGTACGGATACCTTGGTTTGGGATGCACAATATCCCTAGGTTGTTTCGATAAATTTAAGTTCTTTTAAATATATTCTTGTTCATATGCAAGTGTTAGCATGCTTGAGTTTCACTTTTTAAGTTGTATTGTATAATTAGGCCAAAATGTCATTTTTGCCTTGGAACTTGTAATGTGTGCCTAAGCACATTTTTTGACACTTATTCTATGTATGTGATATGTGGCCAAGGGCCAAATTTCATTTAAAATCCATGTATACTCATAAATGTAAAAATTTGCCTTTAATGTGAATAGTATGAAAAATTAGGGTTTTAACATGTCATTTTTGTACCGGAGTGTGCATTGTATATGAATTTCATCCTTTGGTATTCATTTACCATATATAAGGTGTGGTCAAGAACCAAACACTATTTTGTTTTAGGTTTCACATTTTAGTTTCATATATTGCATTTTTGGGCTAAAATAGGAAAATCCGAACCTTTAAGGATTCATTTCCAAATCGAGTAGCATATAGTGTGCACGACCATTTCCACTAGGACCCATTTATTATGCATGACGTGTGGCCAAGGGCCAAATGGCCTTTTGAAAGCATTTAGGTCCGTTTGTTGCAAGTTTTCTCTTTAAATGACATTTTATGCAAAATTGAGGTTTGAGAGGTCATATTTTGCAGTAGGGGTATTTTGAAGCTGTGGGCTATTGGGACTCATCTTAAATGTCTTTTTACGTTTGCGTGCATGTCCACATCTCATAAAACTCTTGAATTTTGGTTTTAGAACTATCACGGGGTGATTTATGAATTTTTATGCAAAATTCATGCATTGGAGTTTGATTCAAGCTTCTCTTTTGATTTAGCATGTTATTGATGCTTGTATAAAGTTTTGGCATGTTTCAAAACTTGTTTCAGGACATATGAGATGCATATATAGCATTAGTTTTGGACCGAGTGCCTTCCCCACACATAGCAGCAGTAGTTTTGCTGTTGCGTCGGTCGGCTGACAAGAGCCATCAGCCGACCGATAGCCTTCGTAGACATTTTCCAGTGAGTTTGCAACCTGGACAGAACGTTTTGGCTGGCTGATCCTTGTCGTCATCCGGTTGATGATGGAGTTTCGGCCGGCTAATCCTTACTGTCAGCCTGCTGATCCTTCCTGAAACTTGATTTCTTTTCAGTTTCTTAGACAGTTTTCTTAAACCAACTTTAGAGGGTTATATCTCACTCGTTTTTAATCCAAATCAAGTCATTCTTGAGCCTAAATTCAAGAGTTAGAAGTTAACTTTCCAATGGTACTAACCATATACAAAAACTCTAATCGTAGTGAGAGTTATGATAATTTTAGTGAGATAAGGTCGTAATATCTCTTAATCGGAGGATGTCTCTTTGTTCTATTTTCATATATTTTCCGTCCAAACTCCGAATCAGGCAATTCTTGAGTCTAAAGTTATTAATTTTTTGTTATCTTTCCAATGGTGTGCATAGTGGCACCCATTTCTAGGTGAAATGATCATTTTACCCTTAGTCCATTTCTTATAAGGTTTTGGAACCCTTGTTTCCTTCTTGCTTCCGTTGAGCCTCGGGACTCCTCAGAAAGCTACTTTTGTGTCTTAGGGATGACATACATCTTTGGAGGCCAAATTTCTGTTTAGTTTCGACATTTTGAATCCGTTTCGAGTCATCACAGGACACACTGAGTTTGTAAAATTTGGGGCTGTCACACATTTATAGAAAAATATGTGTGAGCTTCCCTTTTATATAATATATAAACTTTTTTTTTTTTTTTTGGTAAATATATAATAGGGTAAAATGCAAAAAAAAAAAAAAAAAAAAAAAAAAAAAAAAAAAAAAAAACCTTTAACTATGCAAAAAAGTTACAGATCACCCCCTCCGACAACTGCCAGTTGATTTGATTCTCGCCGTTTAAAAACACCCAATATATATTTAATGACCACAATACCCTTATAAACATAAAATGACTCTATTACCCCTTATTATGCCATTACACCCAAACACAACCTTAACCAACCATACACCCAAGCACAACCCTTTTCCCTTCTATCTATACACTACTATTCATCTTCTTGTCGACCTTATCTTTCTATCTCCCAATCTCTATCTCTCTGTGTGTGTATATATGATAAATATATGTATAGATATATATACTATCTCTATCTGTGTGTGTATATATATATATATATGTTGCTTAGGGTTTGAATGAACAGAGGGTTTGAAACCCAAATAGAACCTTTCCGACGACACCCTCTCACTCTTCATCGCCAGCGACACACCCCCCTTTCGTCTTCACATTCGTCGCCGAATTTGATGGTTTAGATTGAGACTCAATTATTTGTTTCGGCAAACCCAAATCAAGAGCATCGACTGGTCTAACGTTTGTTGATGCAAAATCTAGCGGCGGCGTTCAACAATTCCTCGATGTGCTCCCTCTCTCCTTTTTGTGTCTCTTTGTGGTTCTTTTACTTCTGCCAATTGCCATAGACGCCGACCGTTTCTTTTGAGGTGGCGGTGCGTGAACCAGATGAACATTGAGGTGTCGAAAGTGGGGTGGTGGCAGTGGGTTTGTTGGGGTTCAATTGGATTTATTATGTATGAATGTTTGGGTGTTGGGGTAGGTCTGTGCTTCAATATGAATTATTTGAATTTCTAAGATCATGGTTTGATTGGTTGGGACGATCGAAGTATGGGTTGGTGGTGATGGACCAAATTTGACAGTTGGAGTATCAAATGTGTATAAAGCTCATTGCCGTAGAAAAAGTGCATCATCACAGTCGTCTCTGAACGCCAGTTCTCAATCTGTATTGGTGACACACAGCCACCAAAAAGAGTGAGAGAGTGAAATTCTTTTAGAGAGATGTTTTTTTATGTTATATTGATTCTGCTACTATTTTTTTTTTTGGGTCTCTGCTATTAGCCAAAGAGAATTCCTTTACAAAACCAGCACCGATCAATCTGGGTCAATACGCCTATAACACCAAAAACGATGAAATCAGCACCAACTTGATTGTGATTCAGGCATACTATTGGAGATACTAAAATATATACATGTTGAAGAGTGTCACTACGCCAAGAAAGGAAGTGCTCTGGCATAGGTGTCTTTTTGCCGTAAAGATCGACTGTGGTCAATGACGCAATCATTTCTTGCGTCGTCGTTGTATGCCGAGGGGAGGGAGGTGGAGGAGTTGGTTTCAATCGGGCCATGAATGGGTTTCACAGTGGCTATGGCTATAGTGATGGAGAAAGATATGGATATGGAGTAGTTTGGCTATGTAGTGACTTTCTGTATTCACTATGGCGATGGGATATGGAGTTATTTGGCTTGTAAAAATTGGATAAGGTTTTGTGTTATCACTTTTTGATTGGTGGTAAGTGATATCATCATACACTTAACCTGCAACGACGTAATTTTGATTAATGATAAAATTATCTTTTATTTTTTTCGGTTACCTATGAAAGTAAATTGCAACAAAAATAACAATTCAAGGTTAGTTGCAAAACTCAAATAGTTTATAAATTTTTTTACATTTTACTTCATATAATATTTAAACTTAAGTGAGCTTCATTTTTTATTTATTTTTTATTTTTTTTGGGTACGGTGAGTGAACCTATGTATTGCTTTCATTGTTTTCTCCGAGGTAACATACCTATCTTATGAATGACTTTAATTTCCTGAAAATAGCTACATCATGCACCTTTAGGTGACCACTTATTTTAGTTAGTGACAGCACCTTTAGTTAGTCGGTGACTATCTTTAATGCACTACATTTTTGAGGCAACAAATAAACAATGGCTACAAACAATCCCCATGTTGTTTCCATCAATTTCATTTTAGAGAAAGCGACCTACACCTAAAACTCTAGTCAATATATTGTATATATTGTTAAACTAAACTCCTCATTAATTATTTTTTTGTTTTTTTATAAATTAAATTTTCAATATATATAAACGGACAAAATTACATAGGCCCAATAAGCCATGTTAGCCAAAAGACTAAACTACAAAACATGAGAAGCACAATTAGACCTAACCAGGGCCAAAAACCCAAAACAGAACATTTAGCCAAAGACTAAGTGAGGACCATGACCGTTACAGGCCACAATTAGGCATTGCGGTAACCATAGAGATCGTTGCTCCAAACATCATCATCTTGTTGTGTGGTCAGGCGGTTCTGGTGGTGGCCGGAAGATCACATCAGGAAGTTCTCATTCATGTGTAGTTCTTCGAGCGTTCATTGTATCAGAAATTGATGAAGTGAGAAGTTTAGATCTTACAGAGTCCGATGTGAGGTGTAGGACTAAGTTCGCGGAAAGAGATTTTTTCTTAAAGATTCTGCAATTGCGTTCATTCCAAATATTGTATACCAGCGAAGCCAGACATATTTTTGAAATTGAATTGCTGTGAAATGTAGAGGCTACCATTCCAATGGTGGGCCGTCCAAGTAATCAATTGTGTCCATGAGGAAGGTAGGATATGGAACCTATAACATGCTTGAATAAATGTTCATAAGGGCTTGACATAGATGCATTTAAAGAATAAATGATCATGGGATTCTGAATCACATCTGCAGAGGGTACATATTGTAACATTGATGTGTGCCGTACATCTTCTGTTCAATGTTGATCGTCATTAATGATATTGTTATCCTATCAAATGTGACCAAAGCTTACACTACGTGTTAAATTATGGAATGACACCTATAAATTAATATCTTTTGGTTACAATTAATTTCAAAACGTGGATACATGCAACAAAAAAATAAAATAAAATTATGGATTCCATGATTCCAAAAGCATGATGACATACTACTGAACATGGGATCGAGGGTATCGAATTAAATTCTTCTTTTGCATTGACCTTGTCGCCCTGTACCCACCACTGCTTGAAACGTTCTCAACTGCATCTATATAATACCATTCACTGCGTTGCTTGTTGTCAAGTCCATAACCTCTCTCTCTCTCTCTATATATATATACATATATATACAGCACAGCAATGGATATGAATCATCTGATTCACAACTGCTTGAACGAAGTGGTTATGGCAGTAGTTTTTGTCTCGCTATGTTTGATCCTATCTCCGTTCTTCATTTTCAAGTTCATGCATATGATCTCGAGATGCTTCTGCAGTACTGAAAACATGAAAGGAAAAGTAGTTCTCATCACTGGTGCTTCTTCAGGAATTGGGGAGGTTCATTCTTTTCCTTTTTCATCTCTCTATATTTATTGATTTCCATTTATTCCATATATAATATATACTATGAAATATAAATTTGCAGCAATTGGCTTATGAATATGCCAAGAAAGAAGCTTCACTGGTCATAGTTGCCAGGAGAGAGAAGCGTCTCCTAGAGGTTGCTGAGAAAGCTCGCGGACTTGGTTCCCCTCATGTTCTTTCTGTTTGTGCAGATGTCTCAGACGTCAACGACTGTAAACGATTTGTTGATGAAACTATCAACCACTTTGGCCAATGTACGTAATTATATATATATATATATATATATATTGCATGTTCACTAGCTAATACTTATTTATGAGCTGTGATACATCATACATACATACAATACATTCTTTTCTGTTTTTTTCCTTCGAAAAAAAGGTTTGATTACAGTGGATCTAAAAAATGGTTTGATTACAGTGGATCATTTGGTAAATAATGCCGGGATAGGTTGTACCTGCACATTTGAAGATGTCACTGACATTACCAAGTTCGCACCTGTGATGGTATTATTTGTCGTAATATTACTATTTGTTTATCATTCTTTTATTGCTTTGTACTGAGTTTTGTTTTTTCTCTGTTAATTTGCTTTTTTAAGTTGATTAAAGTACTTTTTCTACTTGGAAGTGAGCAGGATATAAATTTTTGGGGATCAATTTATGCTACTCATTTTGCAATTCCTCACCTCAAAAAGACCAAGGGAAAGATTGTCGTAAATTCGTCATCTGCGGCACTGTTACATCCACCAAGAATGAACTTATACAGTGTAAATAATTAATTTGATACGTACCTGTACTACACATGATATAATCTCTATTAATTCTACTATATCTCATGTTTAATTATTGCTACACATTAATTGTTTTGTTTCAGGCAAGTAAAGCGGCATTGATAAGCTTCTATGAGACACTGAGAGTTGAGTTGGTTCCTGAAATCACAATGACTATTATAACTCTAGGTTTTATAGAATCAGAAATCACCCAAGGCAAAGTTTTATCCAAGGATGGTTTCATTGAAGTAAATTGCAAACTGAGAGATGTAAGATACTTTACAAATGAATCCTAATACTTGTTTATGTTAATAAATTAAAGTAAAACCGTGGCTAATGCGTCTGCTAACACATTCACTGATTAGAGTAATTGGGTTGGATACGAATCAACAAATACGTTAATCAAGTGACCATGCATTAATGGTTGACAGGATGCTGTTCAGGCAATGCCGGTGATGAGTTGCAGGGCATGTGCAAAAGCCATTGTTCATGGAGTGTGCCGAGGAGAAAGATATGTGACTGAACCAAAATGGTTCAGGGTGCTGTTCATGCTTAGAAGTTTGTCTCCTGAACTGGTTGAATGGTATTACCGAACTTTTTACTTCACAAAACCAACAATCTCTAATCAGATGGTATCAGACAACCTTCGATCTACTTCACACGGGGTCACACAAACCAAAGCGGACTAGGTTTATATTTTTGAGGTTCTTTTTTGTTAGTGTGTTATTGTTGATCAATCAACTTGTTTGCGCTGTTTCAAATTTTAGTTCTTTTTGTATCTTCATCATGTCTGTACTTTGTAATTGTTTGCATGTCTTGGTACTGCAAAAAGCAGTACTTGTACTTTTATCCTAAAAATCATATTATTGTGATACCTCTCCGCAATTCAACTGCGTCAACGGAAAGTAAAGCGTAAAAGTGACAAAATTTAAGTCACAAATAATAAAAACAGGTACGTGAGAGCAACACCCATTTAAAAGAATAGTGACTTAGGTCATGATATTAAGGCAAAACAATTGTGAAAAAAAAAAAAAAAAAAAAAAACCTTTACTCACTTACCTACTTGTTTAGACAGCTGTGCAAGAAAGTGCCTAGATCAAATTGAATTGCATTCATTATAAGTTTTTTTTGGGTAAACATTCATTATAAGTTGCAGAGTAGAAGAGTTCATTTTATTTTTTTTTTTGTTAAAAGAGTTCATTTTATTTTGCATCTTAAAAGCAAGTGAAGTTCAAAATTTGAAGAATTTAGATTATTCCCAGATTAATGAACGAAGACATATAAAGCATAGGCCTTCAGGGTAGCTTTAACTAATTTTTACAGCTTTTTGAATCTAACTAATTAGCTGAAATTTCAAATTTATATTAAAACAAAGGGAAAAAAAACCTAAATAATATAGTTTTTTTTTTATTAATTTTATAAAATAGTATGATTTTGTCCATGGGTATTAATGCCATTGCAAATTCTAATTTTATGCGTATTTTAAGGATAAATTGCATAAACTCCCACTTTCATTATGAGGATTAAAGCAAGGAGATTTTATGCAATTTCTTTAAACAATGTATGAAATTAAAATTTGAAGATCAAATATACAAAGAATTTGGGCTTGTCTAAATATATAGGTAGGTGGACAATTATTGTCAACGGCCCATTTGTTCCGAAGTTTGGTGAAGCGCTGCTTGCTGGTACCATGTACACCGAGTCTCACTTGACTTCTTCAAAAACCTAACAAAAACAATAAAGTAAATTACACTAACGGACAAATCTTACATAAGAAAGTTTAGCATTTATTATTTTGACCTCTTTTTAGGTGTATGTTCAACAATGTCCCTTTCCATCCAAATTTATAATAAAAAAAAATTATAAAATGACTAAGTTGCTTCTTACACTATTTTTTTTTTTTTCAAGATTTTTTAGTACATGGTAATATTGTTGGAGAGGAGAGAGAAAGTAACAAAAGAAATGAGATAGAATACTTGATTTTTTAAAATTGTATAATATATTTTGTATTATAAAAATATATTACAGATAAGGGTATAATTGATTTTTTATAATTTTAAAGAAGGTGAGAGTAATAAATCTCAAACGCTTTATCCATATAAAATTTGCCCAAATCCCAACGAAGGTAAGTACAATTTATTGAAACAATAAAGTGAAACCATCTTTGGACGTGGCAATCTCAAATAGAGTTTTCGGTACCACTTTTGTGACTATAAACTCTAATTTAGTGCATAAAGTTATAACTTTTTTGCATGTAAATTCTACTCATGTGCACAGAAACATTACTTTTTGATGACTTAATTTGTACAAAAATAATACTTGGATGCCCAAGAGTAATACCTCTGATGCATCACCAATTTTTAGGCCTCCCCAAAAGCTTAAGAAAAATAACATTCTGAATACTTTCTCTATCTAATATTAATTGTCTATTTTTTTTATTTTTAGTTGTCCCACGATAATTATCATATTTCAAATATTTCCTCAACCTTCTCAATTTATCCTTACAACATGAAATTAATAAAAGTCCAAAGTAAAATTACTATGAACTCCACCAATTCAAAAACAAAAAGAGAATTTTGTAAATTCATTTATGCCAATGCAATAAAATAATATTAAAAGTCAATCTCTTAACCTGAAAATCGTTACAAGTGAGACTCATCCCACATTGAATGCGAAAAAATTGAATGAGTATATATAAATTGGGTGTTAATCACACCTAATAATTTAATTTTTTTGTCGGATCGCAAAACACTCGTCCTTTTTACAAAAAGCCAATTTGATGACTTAATAGCCATAACCTAGTTATTTATGAACAGTGATAAAATAAATAAATAAATTTCTTTCTAAAAGTGGTTTGTTAAATGCACTAGGGTTGAGCTTATACAGTGTAAACAATTAATTTGTTACACTTTATATTATCTCTAGTCCTCTGCTCATGTTTAATTATTGCTATACATTCTTTTTTCTTCTTCAATTTCTGGCATTGATAAGCTTCTACGAGTGGAGAGTTGAATTGGCTCCTGCAATCACAATAAGTTCAATAACTATTATGACTCAAGGCAAACATTTATCAAAGGAAGGGCTCATTGAAGTAAATAACAAATTGAGATTATAAATTAGTAGAACATTTTTACTCCTAACTGTTGATGTGATCCAATTACAAATGCATACGTAGTTTGTAGTTATAAAATCAAAAAAATGATAAATAAAAACAATAATTTTTTTGGAATAAATTCAATCATCCTATCTGGTTTTCTTATTTATTGTTTTCCTGATTTTGTAATTACAAATATGAACATCCAAACAAATTGAGATTCCATGAAGGTCACCACAATACCTAAATTTTTAGGCATGAGTGAAATGGAGCTATTTCAATCTTTCTTTGTTTGGCATGAATTTATAAGTGAGAACGACAATTCCCTTGAAATGAATACACCAACTATTGACAACAAAATACAGTGCAATAATCAATGCATGAGCCAAACCTTATATTTGGGGGCTAAATTAGTATAAAAATCAAAATAAGCCTCTTAGTTCATATATTTGTAATTTTTCTTTTTTATTTAGTACCACAAGAATGTAGTTCTATCAGGATGTGGCCCAATAGTAAATAAATACATCCCTTTAGTTAAAAAGTAAAAATAAAGGATACTCCGTATTAAGTATGCTTCATTTTGGATTGAAAATCAATGTGGGGACAATATAGTGTAATAACAAATACATCTGTAAAATAGATACGTAATATATGATTAAACTAGAATTTGAGAGGTAATTTCCAGTCATAACCATTTGGGCTTCCTCTAAATATATAGGTACACTTTTTTACTTGTCTAATTATTATCATTGGTCCACCTGTAAAGGCTACAACTAGAAGCCATTCAATACTCCTTCCCAAAAGCCTAAGAAAAACAACAAAGAATTCTATTGAATGAAAAAGGTAAAGCAGGAGAGACTTTACAATTCTTGAGTTATTATACCCCCAATCTTTCTGTTGTTGAATTATTTATCAAGTAAGTTTTTTCACTAGTAAAAATCTCAAAAATATGATACCAGAGGTCTCTTTCCCTCCTAATCAATTCATCAAATAAGCAAAGAAAAAGTTTTTTATGCTTAAAATGGCAAAAAAAAGAAAAAAAAAAAAAGTCACGTGTATTCCCTATTGGTTATGAGAGATATTGATCATTCTGTTATGTCCTTTTTATTATTGAGAATTTGGTTGTGTCTTAAAAAAGGCACCAACCTTCACCAAAATGTATTCAATGCATTAGCAACACGTGATATCACATCCACCTTTGCTAAAAACTGTATTCTTTAATAAAATAATAATAATAAAATAAAATAAAATTCACCCTCCCTTTTAATTAGTACACTATTTTAATTGTATTTTTTAATTTAAATAACAAAAATAGCTTTTACACGTGATTCACCCTCCCTTTTAATTAGTACACTATTTTGAAAGAATCGAGTGGGCTTCCCTTTATATAATATATAAATTTCATTCAACTTTTATAGTCAACCTATTTCTTCATTGTTTTTTTCCCTAGGTTTTGTACCTTATAACTAAATATTTCAAGCCGAGTTTATTCAAATTAAAATTTTCATATATAGTGTTTTGGTGATTTTGTTTATCTAAGGGGTCTTGAATTTTATTTTATTTTTCCATTTTTGGTAGGTAATGACTAATGACCATTTCAAGGCGCATTAATATATAATATTACAAAAATAATGTTATTTCGTGGTAACCCAATGAGACTTTTTCTTGGATGGGAGAAAGCATACAATACTCCAAAATATTTGTATGTGTACCTCTTGGATAACAGAAATATTGAGAATTTACAAGAGATATAATAACCATGAAAACTCTTCTTTTGCACGATTCAATTTGATCTTATTACAGTCGGTGACGAATCTAGAAAATTACGTGAGTAGAAGTAAACTTATATATAGTGGGATTTTTCTAAAATTTTAGTAGGAACAATTTAAAACATATAAATAATAATACAAAAATAAAAAATTTAGTGGAGACGGATGTCCCTCTAAACCCATAGCAGGTCCGTGCCTCCCCCAGTGCATGCAAGAGAGAGCCGTGTTTGACATCCCATTCAGCCAGAGCATCTCTAGCATTGGCAAGCATTATTATGCTTGAATGCTCGGTATTCTATCAAATGTGGCCTATATAACACCTTTTACCTAATAATGTCTTTTAGTTCCAACATGAAAGCATGAATTCCATGCTTCCAACAGTATGATGACTTACCACAAAACGTAGTACCCAGGGTATCGAATTAAATTTACACTATATATATATATATATATATATATATATATATATATATTCAGCACTACTTCAAGCCTTCTCACTGCATTGCTTGTTGTCAAGTCCATAACCTCCCTCTCTCTCTCTCTCTCTCTCTATATATATATATACACACACAGCACATGCAATGGATATGAATTATCTGATTGACAACTGCTTGAACGAAGTGGTTATGGCAGTAGTTTTTGCGTCTCTATGTTTGATCCTATCTCCCTTCTTCATGTTCAAGTTCATCCATATGATCTCAAGATGCTTCTTCACTGAAAACATGAAAGGAAAAGTAGTTATCATCACTGGTGCTTCTTCAGGAATTGGGGAGGTTCATTCTTTTCCTTTTTCCTCTCTATATATATTTTATTTCCATTCATCACGTACTCCATATATATATATATATATATATATATATATATATACTATGAAATATAAATTTGCAGCAATTAGCATATGAATATGCAAAGAAAGAAGCTTCACTGGTGATAGTTGCTAGGAGAGAGAAGCGACTCTTAGAGGTTGCTGAGAAAGCTCGCGGACTTGGCTCGCCAGATGTTCTTCCTGTTTGTGCAGATGTCTCAAACGTCAACGACTGTAACCGATTTGTTAATGAAGCTATCCACCACTTTGGCCGATGTACGTGTTTAAATTTATATTGTTCGCTAGCTAATTTTTTTTTTTTTTTCTCTCATTCGTCAATTCATCATTTGGAAATCAGTATGTAGTCATAAACAACTGACTGATAGTTATAGCCTGCATGAGTAGTTCGGTTGATGATAAGACCTTTTGAGATCCCTGGTCCTGAGTCTCATCCAAGGTGACAGGATGCTGAAGTTTACAAACCATCCGAGAGTCCGAGTGACTGGCGGGTGAACTCATTCTTGGAAAGTCTGTTTGACAACTCAATAACTATAGCTTAGTTATTTATGGGTTTTGATACATTTATTGTTTTTTTTCTTCTTCTTCTAAAAGAGGTTTGTTTACAGTGGATCATTTGGTAAATAATGCTGGGATTGGTACTTTCTGCGCAATTGAAGATGCCACTGACATTACCAAATTCGCACCTGTGATGGTACTAATCCTTCGAACAGAGTAGTAGTATTTATCAATCTTTTCTTGCTTTTGAGTTTTGTTTTTTCCTTTGTTTTCTTTTTCAAGTTTAAAGTGCTTGTACTACTTGGAAGTGAACAGGATATAAACTTTTGGGGATCAATTTATCCTACACATTTTGCAATTCCTCACCTCAAAAAGACCAAGGGCAAGATTGTCGTAAATTCATCAGCAGCTGCACTGTTAAATGCACCAGGATTGAGCTTCTACGGTGTAAACAACTAATTTTATACATTGTGTGTATATATGTGTATGTGTGTGTGTGTGTGTGTGTGTATATATATATATATTTGTTGTTACTTTCAATTTCTTTTAATTAAATATTATCTTTTGCCACCCTATTGTAACTTAATTTCAGGCAAGTAAAGCGGCATTGATAAGCTTCTATGAGGCACTGAGAGTTGAATTGGCTCCTGCAATCACAATAACTATTATAACTCTGGGTTTTATAGATACAGAAATCACCCAAGGCAAACATTTATCAAAGGAAGGTCTCGTTGAAGTAAATCCCAAACAGAGCGATGTAAGATACATATCCACCGCTAGCTATACAAGTTTGTATTCCTAATACTGTTTTTGTTAATTAAGTGAACGTTAATGGTTGACAGGTTCTTATTCAGGCGTTGCCGGTCATGAGTTCCGGCGCCTGTGCAAAGGCTGTCGTTAATGGAGTCTGCAGAGGAGAAAGATATGTGGCTGAACCAAAATGGTTCAGGGTGCTTTTCATTCTAAAAACCTTATCCCCTGAACTAGTTGAATGGTATTACCGCACAATTCACTTCACCAAGCCAACAATCTCTAATCAGGTGGTCTCCGGCAAGGGGTCTTCACAAACTAAAGAAGACTAGGTTTAAATTTTTTAGGTGCTATTGTCGATGTGTTAATGGTGAATTAACTTTCTTGCTGTTTCAAATTTCAGTTTTAGACAGTTGTGTTCCTTTTGTATCTTCATCATGTTTGTTGTAATTGTTTATTTTAGGACTACAAAAGGTTCTCCTAATAATTACTCACCCCATATATGGTGATAAACTTGGTCTTCCTATTTTACCAATTAGCATGGAGCTACTTCTAAGTTCTGTCACACCGCAAATGATAACACTGAAAAGACACCACAATAATACTAAAAAATAAAATAAAATAAAATAACAAAAAAAAAAAGGAAAAAATGAAAGAAAAAGAAGACGATGAAGCAAGAGAGTTTACCGGGATGGCAACGGTTTTTTTGGGGACCATTTTCGATCCAATCCCATCCCCATTTTTGGTCATAATCACGTCCCGTCCTGTCTAATCTGCTCTCCAGAAAGCCCGTAAGAAAAATAAGATCGATGATGATGGTGATAGGGCATAATATAGAACATGTTCCCTTCTATCTCTTCTCGCATTCACCTCAAAATCAAATACATATCCGCTAGTTAAGAGTTGTTAGTGGCCTACAAAAATAATGCACAGATCACACAAAGACTCTGGTCATACAATAACCATTTAGTTCAAAATGTGCTTTGATTCAAAAATCCCACCTCAACCACCCTCTAGCATAGAATTCTTCAGAAAGGTCATAGCTCAAGCATCCTTTGAACAAAAAGCCTTCTATATTGGGATTCCATGTCAGACCATTGGAAGCTCGCCACAGTCACTAATGACCACTCCATTTCAGGACGATTACCTCCGTCCGTCTCTTGTGACTCGATCAGCATAACAATATCCATGCTCTCCAAAACTTGTCCGAACACAACATGCCTCTAATCCAACCATGGCGTCTGTCATTCAAAAGAAATTAACAAACATATTTTGAAACTGAAGTGTGACATTGGAAGGTTTTATTGATGAATGGGTTTAAAAGGAGAGTCATCATAATAGTGTGCAGATATATATAACTATATAAATGTACATAAAGTTCTATTCATTTTAACACTAATAGATACCTATTAAGGATTCTATTTAAATGAAAAAATAATAATAATATTATGTTGTTACATTTCCTTAATATTATGTTACTAGTTTTCCTAAATTACTATGATAGATTCCAACAATTCAGTATTCTGATAGACTCCTATGGTCTTATCAAAATCGATTCTCAAATAACACGTCAACATAGAGGCAACTTCAGTATGAGAAAGAGATCTATTTTCAGGTACCTTGACAGTGCATATGAAGAACTGACTTCCATTGGTATTGGGGCCAGCATTTACCATGCTAACAACTCCAGGTCCAATATTGAGACACTGCAAATATCCAATATTTTCATAATTTTGATTTCACATAAGATAACTGTATAAGAAAAGAAACGACTTCCGCTCGAACCATACAAGTCTTACAAGATACAAAGCACGCTAGAAGATTATCTGGGAAAACAAAAATTAATCCATCTTCCCCCCCACTACAACACCCGAACACAAAAATAAATAAATAATAAATCAATAAAAATGTAGAAGAATATCTTAGATGGGTTCAATCAGCATTATTGCAAAATAACAAATACAATATAAAACTTACTGAGATCTTCTCAATAGATTTTAATAATCAAACTATTCTTTTCTTCTTCTTCCCTTTTTTTTTATTTTTTTATTTTTATGTTTTACTTTTTGACCAAAGAATATTAGATGGGTTCCATTGAGAAATGGGTCCCAACCTCCTGTATGATTGACATAAGTAGCTAGGATATAACTTACGTTGGAAATTCTCATCTTTGGATTTGCGGCCATATATACTTTTACCACCAGTTCCCTGCAACAAATTCCGAAGAAAAGCATTATAGAACAGATTGGCCTGCTCATAAAACAATGCCTAAATAAAAGGCAAGACATCCTTGTAAGAGATTGCACTATTAGTCACCAGTCCAGGATTAAAACGGGGGCATAAATTTATCAGCAGTAAAAAATTCTGACAGAGACGTAGATTTCCAAAAAAGTATGTTTCTTTAAATCGAGAGAGAGAGGATCAATGCCATGATAATGTCAGGTGATATCATCAAATGTGCCAAGTTTTATGATGTCATTGAAATAACAACATCACAAGAGATGACTGATCAGAGGATGATGCGTGGGACACAAAAATATAATGGCAACGCTGTTTGATTTTTTAATAATTGACTGGTATAACAACTATTCACCTTTTGGTATCTCTTGATATCAATCTTCCCACATCCAACTTCTATTCGGAGCACCAGAGTTACAATTCATATCCAGTTTTAGCCTTACTTTCTCTTAAACCCTCTTAATCAAACAAACTTGGGGGCTATTTGGTTAAGTTTTCTTCTCTCAGAAAACTAGAAGGGAAAATAAATAAATACATAAATAATAAAAACGAAAATTAGTTTGGTAGACATTTAACTAAAAACTGTTTTCTGAACATTGAATTAAAAATAATTCTGTTTTTTAAATACTGTTCTTTGAAAATTGTTTTCAAATAACTAAACAAAACAAACCCATAATTTCATTGTCACTTACACTATTACACACACTAAACTATAGGAAAAAAACAATAACTAGTCTTAGAAAATGTCATGAAAATTGTGTTCCCCTCCTTTGTTGGATTGAAATAATAAATTCATTTCTACAAGTTAATGTAGAAAATGATTAAAAATTAACATACAAACAGAAAGGAAATGAAAAATAACCCCCAGTAAATTACTACAAAAACAGAAGAGAATAGTAGTGTAGAAGACAATTGGGAGAAAGAACAGAGGAGCAAAGACCAGAAAGGTCATATAGTTAGATTTTTACTTGTTGGTACAGTCAAAAGCTTCGAAATTTCTAGTTCAAGATAGCGAAAATGCTGCATTTCGGGGCCAACAAACCTCACAGACATTTTTTTGTAAAGATGCTCTTCTGCTAATATTAGTTTATTTTTTTGTATCATGATTCACTAACAAAGTTTTGTTTCTTCTTGAAAATGAATGCAAGAATCAAGCATTGAAAGTAAACACTAAACAGTACCCACATTTCCTTGATAAAAGTCTCCTCCTTGAATCATGAAATCCTTGATGACATGATGGCATGCGGAACCTTTGTAGCCAAATCCCTTATCTCCTGATCAAGATCAAATCAAATCAGAGTATATCAAAAGCTGACCTCAATTAGGCAATAGCAAAAAGCAACAAAACTTTACTACTAAATTATAAGATCATAATAACAACCTGTGCAAAGAGCATGGAAGTTCTCTGCTGTCTGGGGCACATCGTCACCATACAATCCAATCACAATCCTGCCAGCAAGCTTCCCTACCGGATTCCCAATGCTTGATTGTAATCCCGCTTACTGGAATTGAATGATTATGTAAAAATGAAGTACTAATTTTCAAGACACAAATATACATCTTTTACTTTTTAATACTTCATACTACTTCTGTCACTTCCAAGCAGTTTGAGGGGACAATGTTAAATCAGGAGCTGTGAATGGCATTGGGAAGCATAAAAGCTGCTGTCGCAAAGAAATTAAAACACTGATTTTTGTCTTACAAATGCTCTTATGTCTAACAAATGCTCCGTTTGGTAGCTGAGAAAATATTGGAAATAAAAGAAACTCAATAGTCAATATTGTTCTTCGCCTCTAAAATACTTAAATCTTTCACTTAAAATTAGAGTAATAGGAGCTATTCACTTACGCTGTGTTTGGAATGAAAAAGGAGAAGAGAGGGTATATGGTCATTTTCTCAGCAACCAAACGTATGAGGGTAAAGAGTAAAAAGAAAAAATCCTGACCTCAACTGTGGCCATAATCGGGCTAAGAAGTCTTGTTTCTCTCTGAAAACTTTTGTTGGACGAGTATGTAAGACTCAACAAGGCTGAGAAGCTTGAAGAAGACGCTGAAAATGATTTATCCGAGGGAAATGTACACTTTCCAAGCTTTGTAGAAGAATTACAACTAGGGCTGAGAATTTTGATCTGAGAGAGATTTCGTGGGCTTGAAATTGACCCAACATCCAACTGCGAGAGTACAGGGAAAGTTTAAGTTCATTAGCAAGATAGAGAGAGAGTTCATATACATATATATATACAAATTATATATGTAGAAAGATAAATAGAATTGGGATTAGGGTTTACTTACCAGTGTTGTGAATGGAACTACCATTGATGAAGATGTTTTCGTGGCCAAAAAAATTCTCCCCGTGTCGTGAGATTAGGGCTCAGTTTGGTAGAGTGGGTTTGAAGGGAAAGGGAAGGGAAGGTGATGGAAGGTTATAAAAAAATTGTGTTTGGGTAAAATTGGTGGAAGGGAAGGAAAGGAGAGGGAAGGGTTTGGAGGGTTAAGGCAAGGCTTGAACAGTAGATTTGTTAACCTCTCAAAAATGGGCGGAAACGGAAGGAAAAGGAAGGCAATGGCACATGTGATAATCGTGATGCCAATTTTACCCACACAAAATCAAGGATTTAGTTAAGCAAAACAAGAATTACAGACCTTAATTGGTTGATTTAGTAAAACAAAACCCGTACATATAAGTTAGCCATTGCACAGAGAAAGAGAGGGGGGAAGCTTACAGCGGCTGAAACTTGCGTACAGCGAACCCGAACTGGAACAACCGGCGATGGAAACGGCGAACCCAAACTAGAACAGCGGGCAAGGGAAACTGAAAGATATGGGTTTTGATTTTTGGAACAATCTGAAACAATATGCCGATATGGGTTTTGAACCTTTGATTCTTGCAAATGATAGATAAACATATGGGTTTGGAACTTGGATTGTTGTAGTTTTGTGGTTTGCAGTTGCAAAAGAGAGAGAGTGTTGCAGAGAGAGAACGAGAATAGAGATGGAGGCGGGGACCCTAAAATGATGACCCTAAAAATATTATATTTATATTAATATTTTTCTTTTCTTTTTCTTTTTCTTTTATTTTCTTTCTTTTTTTTTTTTTTTTTACAAATATTACATACTTAAGTTATTAATTTTTATTTTAAATTATAAAAGGGTATAATAGTAAATTTACCGAAATACTTTCCTTTCCTTTCTTTCCCCAAACATAATTATTATCCTTCCCTTCCTTTTCCTTCCTTAATCAACCAAACACAATACTAAATTAAAATTATCCTTCCCTTCCCTTTCCTTCCATTTCCCTCATAACTAATCTTATCCTTCCCTTTCAAACCCACCCTACCAAACATAGCCTAGCAGTAAGGAGAGGAGAGGAGAGGAAAGGAAAAGGATAACCTCTTGTATAGTTTTTGCTTTCCTAAAGAAAGGAAATGATATAACGAAGGAAATGAACTATTTTAATTCATTTATTATTATATTTTTTCACATTTAAAAAAATAAACTCATGAATAAAACATGCAATTTTTGAGGCTGATAACTAAACATGCTTTCGGCTATTTTAAGTTTAAATTAATTGAATTTGTCAACAAAAACCTATTTATTTCTTCGTACAATTATTAAAAAATTATCAAATTTTGATATTGTGAAGTGTGACACCCCCAACATTTTCCACGCATAAGTTGATCAGGCTTATACATGAAAAACGAGGAATATCAAAAACAATTGGCAATATACAAGCATGGAATACAAAATGATGATAATAAAAGAATTTAGACAGGAAAGGAACACTAAATAATACAACATGGAAATCCAGTACTCCATTACAACTTGGAAATCCTATATCAAGGATCCATAAATATAAACCTAAGAGTTCAACGTCAAAAGTAAATAAAAACTGAAACTGAAGTAATACATAAAACTTCTACCCTGAACTGGATCGTAAGAGTAGATGAGTTCGGATGGTGGTCCCACACTGCTAACTTCAACCTTGGAACGGGTACTGACCGTATCTTGAAATAACAACAATGGTGGGTCAACCCCACGAGCAAGTACTCTCTACTATGACCCAAATCAGAGAATCAAATAAATTAATCATTATGAATCGGATGAGTACTATATCTGTATACATCATAAAGGAACTATCCAATGTATAACATGACCTCAACCAGAATAGAAGGTGATCACTTAGACTCACACTAGGTGGTTAAGTGTTGCCTTTCCCTACCCGGGAAATCAGCTATTATACATGGTGCACGGTACTGACAACACAGACTATAATGAACTACACAGTGATAACACCTCTCAAAGTACTGATGAATATACTGAGCATATAAATTAGGCAACACATGCCAATAATATTACTAAACATACTGAGCATGTCAATTAGGCAACACATGCCAATAATATGAAACCACATACCCCGACAGCCACACATCTGTCTATAGCAACGAATGCATAAGGTATAAATGAGTCGAAACTTATTAGCCAGCTCACATGGTTCTATAGGGCAACACATCCATATAATATAAATGCGACATAATTTAAACAGTCCATTTATTCTCTGAAATGCACACAGCATAATAATCATGGTTTATATATGATTAACAGTATAAACATCCCATAATATAACATGGATAATTTATATGACGAAAATCATGGCATTGTTTAATTTCAAAGTAATGATTAATACCATTTAATAACATAATAACACCATCTATATTTAACAATGTCGTTAAATAAAACACATTAACATCCGTACTGTAAACGAGCAAATAAATGCTTAGAGAAGACTAATTGGCCATAAGAATAATTAACGGGAATTAAAATAATAATTTCGTGGCCCGTTAAACCCGTAAATACCAACACAGTACCTAAAAATTCAAGTTTAAGGTTCTGGAATTTATAAAACAGGCCCTAGGGGTATTCTGGTAATTTCTAGCAGTTGACAGGGCCCCTCACGCGCCCCCACGCGCCGCCCTAAGCTCCCCCACGCGCAGCCCAACCTTCCCCACTCTCCCACGCGCGTCTGGCATCAGCCACGCGCGCGCACGCGCTCCCACGTGCGCGTTTAAGTCTCCTGCAGACGTGGCATCTCCTGGTTGGTTGGCTGTATTGACTTGCTGTGGGTGCGCTACACAGGATCATTCATCTCATCTCACCTAATCCAAGGGTCATTGATCCGGGTGTACCGCGGTAACATGGACCGCGATGCACCGGATCAATCAGATTCATCTAAGACCCAGGATGCGCGTGCACGCTACCCTAAAGTTCGCCGCATCACACCGGATCACTCCGGTCATCTCCCCCATTGCCGGCGACCGGAAAACTCGCCGGAAGGTCGCCGGAAATTGCAGAAAAGCCCCGGAAAAATCTAAAAAATTCTAGAAAAATCCCTAAAGCCTTAAATAATTATTTTTAGTTAGATTTAATCGTATAGGATAATAATTAAATATCTACCATCCTAAATAATTAAAATTTTATTAATTAAATAAACTAAAAATAATAATTTATTAACTCTTAACATGCTCTCAAGGCTCCATAATGATTTAAATAATTTAAACAATTAATTTATAGATTCAAAGGGGAAAAATAGATAATAACTTGCCTTTTTGGATTTAAAATAAATCTGCCGGTTGCGCGTAGTCGGGTAAATTTCTCCTACACCGGTCCAAACTCCTTTCTTTCTCTCTCTTCCTTTCCACACTTTTACAATGGCTCACTAAAAATTATAACTTTTTCTAACTCCCTTCCATTCCTTCTAAGTTAGGCTAGCTAATTTATATACAATTTATATAATATAAATATTACAAATATCTAATTTTGCATTTAATTAACCACATTCCCAACCATATGACTTCAAGTCTTACCCATAAACATTAATGAAATCCTATCCTAATCTCTAATTTCATCATGACTTATGATTTAATACTATTATTATTATTATAAGAATTATTATTATTATTGTTATATTATTATTATTAATAAACTTTTATAATAATAATAATTATTATATTATTATTATTATTAAACTATTATAATTATTATTATTTTTATTACATAAGAATACATTATATCATCATAATACTTTATAACACAAATATAATAGTTTAATTAACTAATAATGCTTAATATAAACATAACCAACAAATAAAAATTATTAATAATAATACATGCACAATTAAATGAATAAATTTACTATTTTAACATACACAATTAATTTACATGCACCATTAATTGAACTTACTATAATAATGTAGCATGCACAATAATAGGTAAAGAAATCCAAACATAAATGAATTTAAATAAACTAAACTCTTTAATAAAATACGGGGTATTACACGAAGAATCCATTATAAACTCGCACAATACACTTTTTTTAAAAAAAAATTGATTAACATGCTTAAATAGTCTTCTAAAATGCAAATGCATCTTATCCATTCAATAAATGGAATACTCTTACAGTAAATTTAGCCACCAGGGTTCCCAAAATTGGATACTCAAGTTTTTGTAAAAAAAAAAAAAAAAAATTATATTTACGAAAGAATTGTTATACACGAGAACGATGCTCATTTCTTTCCCAATAACAGAATTTTGGCAACTTTGTTTCCCCTCCTAAAATTTAAGCTTAATTTTGATTTTGCCTTAAGTATAAATTTAGTATTAATAAAATGAAATTATCTTTCCTTCTATGTCCTCCAAATTTTGGAGGGGTGGCAAAAGTTTTAAGTCTTTCTCTATCCCTTCCTAACCCACCCTCTATTCCCTTTCTTACCTATTACAGCGTAGGATCCTAGTCGTCCACACTAAACATAATTTGTTATCCCCTCCATTAACTTTTTCTTTTTGTACTTTCCTTCCATTTCCATTTTACCAAACTGGCCCTAAGCGAGTGGGTGTGTGAAGGAGATGACTGTGAAATTACTAAAAGACCACTTAGGTTCTTCAAAATGCGAAGAAAAAAAAAGAAAGGAAGTAGCGACCAGGATTCGAACTTGAGAGGGCGTCGTCGTCTACGCAATGAAACAAACACGACACCACAACTCTGAAATCTTTTCTACACAAATATTTCTATATGTACACAAACAGTCGAGAGGCCCTATTTTATTATATATATATATATATATATGTTTGGAGGAGTGATGGCAGTGAGAGTGAGCTCAGTGAAACCTCTGATTCCCTCATGCCGTTGCGGCAATTCTTTGTTCTCAATTCAAAAGAATCGTCGATTCCAAGTCTCTGCAACTAAAATGGCGAGTCCGGGACCCGAAAAGATATCTTCTTCTCCTCCCAAAATCATTGATTCACATTTGCATGTATGGGCTTCTCCTCAAGAGGTAATCAAACTAAACCAAAGTTACCAAACCCCAATAATTTTCTATACATGCACAAATATATACTATATGTATATAGACACACATACGTACATACATATATATGTAGAGCATAATCTATTTGGTTCTGGTTGTTGATTGAAGGCTGCAGATAAATACCCTTACTTTCCTGGCCAAGAACCTACTTTAGCTGGTCATGTCGATTTCTTACTCGAGGTACGCTATGCTTAATCTTTTGTGAATCGTTTGATTTATTTTCTGTAGAAAATGTATTAGAATTTAGGGGATGGTCTCTTTAGGCTTCCGTTGATTAGGTTAAAATTTGTTGACAAGTGAAGTAGCAACAAAAGAATAGAATTGAATAATTTGAATTGAAGCAAGATGTATTTTCCTAATAATTTTCAAGTGCGAAGGAAAAAAAAAAAAAGTCCTAATAAACTAAGTATTCTTATGCCTACTTGTGAAGTAAGCACAGAACGCATCATGATATCCATCAGAATCTCAAGTCAAACGTTGCAAGCTGCAAACGTATCTTATGGACATTGTTTTCTGTCACGAAATATTGCTATATATTCAGTTGAAACTTTCACGAGAAGGTTGTTAGAGTATTTCTCAAGTTCATCATAGTGCTTTAACCCCAACAACGGTGTACATCAAGCGTTCACATGGAATCTTATGTCAACAAATATCATATGAAATTAAACTAATGCTATGTTTTGGGAGCACCAAATTATCGCCTTGGATTTCCTCCAAGGAGCTGATTCAGTGCTCCCAAACACAACACTAAGGTACTTTAAATTGATAAGTTGGCTTATTTCAATTAGGATGCCTTGAAAAATGTGACCACATTCTGATAGTATCACGTATCTCTTTGGGTTTCTCCATTCCAATATGAGATTCATCTTCCATGCCCTTAATTGCATGTAAGATTATAATAGAGTATTGGGATGTAGTTTCACCATACCACTTAAAGTAGTATTTTGTGCTGCAATTCTTGGCATTATGCAATACCACATTACTAGTTGTAAAAAGTTAAAAACATTGCAAATTGCTCTTAAATACTACAAACCGCAGTGTCTTTTCACCTTCCAAAACCCTTAGATATGTATACAACTATAAATTAAGTTGCGGCCCTTACCAAACTGACCCAAGTAGTACGCACCCTACTTATACAATAAGGTACCAATTAGACAATTTCAGCAATGGGATTTAGCTTTTTATCAAGTTTAATAACAAGAAAAAATAGATAATTATATCAAACAAGTTACTAGAAGATTCAAGTAAAAAATATTTGTGGTCCAGCTCACAAGCTCAATGGAAATCCCAAATTTTAGACAAAGCACCAAATGACACTGCATTAATTAATATGCAATCAGGATAAATAAGAAGACTTTGTAAAAAAAAAAAAAAAGGATTGCTGTAAAAATAAATTAATATTGTCATCCAAATATATAAGGTGGAGGAAAAAAAGAAACTCACAATTTGAACTTGTTGGAATGGAGAGAAGAAGTTGCACAAAGGAACAATGAGTGGTTTCTGGATCTCTACTTTATGGAAAATATAGAGAACCACCTTCATGGGAAATAAAATGTTTGTGTATTTTTTTTAAGGGAAACTGGAAACCATGCTTTCCATAAAATCAAACAGTTAAAGGTGTCATACTTTCTTCGTAGCTTAGAAAATCAAACCGCTAAAGATTTTCTAGTCATCACTCGATAATCATCATAATATATACTATCAAATTCTGGTCATTTTGCATATGCTGACAGATCCCAACCATTTCTTTCAATTTTAACCTTAATATCTATGTTGAAACAGGTGCCATTATGTATTTGTTGTGATTGTCACTAATCAATATTTTTGTCTCCAGTGTATGGGAGAAGCAGGAGTGCATGGTGCACTCATTGTGCAGCCTATTAATCATAAGTTTGATCATTCTTTTGTGACAAGGTCAGTTGAGTTGAATTTTCAATTGCCTTTTTATAGCGAACAATGTAATCCCCGTGTCCTCTCTACCTTCACTTAAGCTGGAAATACATGAATCTTGTGGTAGAAATGGAAAAATTATCTAAAGGAGTTACTGATGTCACGTAGTATATGCCCCAACATAGTGGTAGAAGACCCAGCAACTGGGGTCACTACTCAGTGGCCAACCTTGTGGGTGACATGGCTCAAAAGTAGCCTTATGATAATTAAAAAATTTATAGTTTGCAACAGGGTAGCATCATCATATTTTAACACGGTAGCATCAGACTTTTATCATTTTATCATTTTATGGTCTCTTTATTTGATTGTTTCCATTTTGAAGGTCTTCAATGTTATTCTACACTGTATTTATTTATGCTAAGTTAATCATTGAGCAGTGTATTGAAGAAGTATCCATCCAAATTTGTTGGTTGTTGCCTTGCAAATCCAGCAGAAGATGGAAGTGGGGTTAAGCAGCTTGAAGATCTTATTTTGAAGGTCTTTAAAGAATCTCAAGCTATCAGAGAAACTGTATTTTGTAACATATAAATCTTTTTGACACAAAATCATTTGCAGGATGGTTATCGTGCTGTTCGCTTTAATCCATATTTGTGGCCTTCTGGTCAACAGGTACCAATCTTCGTGTAACAACCCTTATTGCTCTTTGTATTGACCCCACATATAATTCTTTGCTTTTTGCACATATTCTGAAAGGATATAATAAGGAGATTTTGCTTCTGTTCCATATGCTTATCCGGTAGGTACCATATATTTTTGGTCTTACTCCATAATGAAGTATTATCATGTTTTATGTTCGTCACAGATGACAAATGAAATTGGGAAGGCAATGTTCTGCAAAGCCGGAGAGCTTGGAGTTCCAGTGGGTTTCATGTGCATGAAGGTGTAAATTTTTTTCTCTCTCTTAGCTCAACTTAACCAAGCCTAAAAATTCAACTTCTTATAGTTTGTTTTAATCCGCTCACTGTTTCCTGCTCATATTCCACTCAGCTCCTGTTATTCTTTAACTAATTTTCATTTCTGATTCACCAACTTATCGTTGTGAAGAGTTCAACAATAATTGTTGTAAATTATTGATGCCATGGTTAAACGAATTGATATTTGATGAGATGGTCTTTTTAGGGTCTTAATCTGCATCTATCAGAAATTGATAAACTATGCACAGAATTTCCTTCAACAGTTGTACTTCTTGATCATGTGGCTTTCTGCAAACCACCAACGTAAGATTTCTGATACTTCAATGTTTTTGGTCACGAGCTTCTCATTTTGTTCTGGGTAAGCCTTTTGAGTTTTTCATATGCATGATCTTGCAGAAATAAGGAGGAAAATCAAGCGTTCTTAGAGCTTTTAAAGCTATCCAGATTCCCGCAGGTAGAATTGTGCTGGATGCCTTCTGTTTCGATTCTTGTATATGCAAAATTTGTTTCTTGACTATCACTATCCCTACATTCTTCCTATGTCATTTAGATTTCAATTGATCCAGAACATTGTAGGGGACCTTTTATTCTCTGTAATGTTAAAAAGTTCAAGAATTTGGCGACTTTCTTTCAAAATGCATTTGCCAAGACTTCTACTCCACTCCCATTTATATTTGTGACCGATTGGCTCTACACCATCCTCTGGTTTGTAACTGAAAGCTTAATTCGACAGGTTTTTATAAAATTCAGTGCACTATTCAGGGTGTCAAGAAAGCCATTTCCATATGAAGATTTATCCCATGTTCTTTTCGAACTAGTCTCCAGCTTTGGTGCCAACCGTATCATGTGGGGCAGGTAAATTTTATTTTTACTTGTAGTAGTACTTTTAAAAAGTCTGCTACTTCAAAGAAAAAGAGCAGTTGTTATTTATCTGAAAATTAATCTTTGGACGTTTATTTTTTATCTTTGAGCATGCTGCAGTGATTTCCCGTTTGTTGTCAATGAGTGTGGTTATAAAGAAGCCAAAGAAGCAGTGAGCGTCATTGCCAAACAAGTGGCTTTGTCATCTGCTGATTTGGATTGGATAATGGGTAAAACAATTAGTCAACTCTTTCATGATCAGTGGATTTCTTGAGCAATTTGATTGATAGCAAGCTTTGCGCTAGTTGTTCTGTGGTGAAACATTCTGACCGGAGATGTGCTAGTGTACTCAAATATTATGCAAACATTTGGATGAAATCGTGTATATTAAATGAAGATTTATTTAGTTTGAATAAACAATATTTAGATAGGGAAATTTATGTGGAGATTTTAGATTACAGATACAGGAGACATTTTTATGTCGACTTTTGTGCTATTAAAATCTTTAGCTGCATGAAATTCAAGTCCAAAATTCAGTCTTACCGTTTACAATCTGCCAAAATATTCGAACAATTACCTAAAACTAGATTATTAAATCTAAGTTGATATAGTTTTTTTTGCAAATAACGAATTGACATTGCAAATAACCTCCCTAGCAATGATTTGATATTTTGCTGGGAGAATGGGTGAGCTGCTTCAATCAAATGCTATTGAGCATGCAACCAGCTTGCTGAAAAAAATTAAAAGGTGGTTTTCAAAAAGACTTGCTCAGCTGGCGTAAAGAGAGAACAATTCAACTCATACACACAACCTACTAAAAATATTTGTTTGTAACAATTGTATACCTTTTATTGATTCATTTTCTTGTAAAAACAAATGTTAGATCTATACAACCACCACCTTTTACTGCCCTATATCATACAGTTGACTTTGATTTCTAACTGACAGACTAAACAAAGCTTTTTCATCACGTAGCATGATCACAGATGAGATGCAATGGGGGGTTAAAAAATCAAAGAACCTCCATCTGCAAATGCTTTACACAAATTTTGAACTCTACAGCTTTCTAAGAAAGAATACAATAATAGGCATTACTAAATAAGAGGTTTGTTAATCTTCCACACGCTGGATCTCACCCATCATGATACGATTGCTGGTAACCTTGAACCCAAGGAGCGCAGGATCAATTTGCCTCCCTTTCTTCCCTTTCTTTTTGCCACCTCGACCTGCTTGTGTCCCATCTGATGCCTCTGAAGCTCCTACTGACGCATGACCTTCTGGAAGTGTAGGCGGCTTCTTAGCACTGCTTTTAAGCATGTCCATGAAAGATGCATCCGAGATATCACCTTCACCATAAGATGAGGTTCGTCGAAAACGCATGTCTTTCTTGCCAGATGCCACTTCAGAAATTTGGTTCACTGGATTCCCTCCAGGATCTCGTCTTCCCCCTGATACATTCGGAATTTAACTATACATTAGCGTGAGAAGACAACGGCTCAGAATTTAGTAATAAATTACTGTGAGGAGGTCAACAGCTAACAGTAAATCAAGCTCTCCGATAGCAAAAAATAATCTTGTCCTAGATCCAACATTTTATGAGCTTCCCCCAACTCACTTGTTCCCAATAAAAACAAAATGCATACACACCCACACAACGTAAAATTCAATTAACTGGACTCCATACAGCTGTCCCATAGCGTTAGTGATGACACAAAGTGGCAAGTGAGGTATGCTAACCTTCCCCCTTTTGGCAAAACTGATAGCAGCATCAATTTGGTAACTGATGCCCTGAATGGCAAAAGGTTTAATGATTGCTAGGGGTAGGGGGGATAATTCCACAGGATATGCTAAAATGGTAGATTTCAAAATTGTGGCAAAGGTACATGCTAACTTAATATGGCATACCTTCAGAAGCAACTGCAACCAAAGGATTTTTCCCTCTAATGATTGGATCAGAAGCTAGCTCCGATAATGCTTCCTGTGATGACGAAGTCTGTGAGACTAGAGGATTTCTCAGTAAATGACTATCCGGTACTTTAGATGGGACTGGTACCCTGTCAAAAGCAAGTCTAAATTAAGAATGCATAGTAAAAATATAAAACTAGAGAAGTAAGCAAACTCGCGATTGATATAGTATTATTTATTCAACTCCAATCAAGATTGAGAGAATTGATTCCGCTGCTCAGAGAAATAACCATATACTAAATTTGAATTCAGGTAAATTATATAATGCTAAAATGCCTTTACCTCATCCAAAGATTACAAGAAACAGGTAAACCTAGCAAACCCTTGCTTCTCCTTTTCCTTTCCTTCCAACTCTTCAGTTTAAACACGCATTAAATTATAAAATTTTCTTCCAACACCTTCTCTTTCTTCCCCCACCCTCACCCTTTTTTCCCCCTTCCAAGCACAAAAACATTGTTATAGAAGGGTCGATAAGAGGGCTTACAAATGTAACTGGTCATTTAATTGTTGAACTGCCAGGATCGTCCGAATGTGACAGCTGGGGAAGGACTCCAAAAATTTACATGAACAATGACAAAGAACAAAATGGAAGCGCTTATAGACCATAAACACAAGATACACAATATGGCAAGGAAGAAAACCATTATCAATTAGCTAGTTGTGATGAACTGATATTACACATGGTCATGCCTGGGTTGGTCGCCTAAATCCACTAAAGGTGTTTTTTTATGAGCACCAGCGAAATCAATAAATATGAGGGTTTCGACAGACAGGGCTTGAACTAATGACAACCAAGGACAGACTGCATCAAGTCTCTAAGGCTGACCAGATATCAGATGTGCTAGGGCCTACATGATTACATCATTTAGGCCCATAGCTGGTTCTTGTTAAAACTCTCGTGTTATGCACAGGCATGACTATATATACACTGGTCTAGTACATTTTATGCACATGCAATCCTTATTAAAGGGCCAACACAATAAGATCTCCACATGTTTAGGTAGAAACCTTTATCAAAACTAATGCCATGTCTAATAGCAAACTTATGAGCAGTGTCATGCAACTATTTTATATACATATATTTCCCCAACATCACCAAATACACAATTGTGTATCTGCATGTCCATAGCATGTTCCACCTTTAACGGATTCTTACAGCCATGTCTTCAATATATGAAGTACAAAGATAAGTTCTATCTATGGCAAGAGATTTCTGAGGCATGCCAATGTCTACACCTGTTAGAGGCGCACAAATACCCTCTTAGATATTACAACTCATCTGTTTTCCTATGCTAACCCTAGATCAAAACACAAATATACTGATCACTCCATCCTTCTAACTAAAACTTGGAATCCTACTAATAAGATACTCTTTCATCATCTTTACTTTAAGGAAGAATAATGCTGGATTAAACACGAACCTTAGCCTGAAGATCTGTCATCTTAGACAGAAGATATTCACATGAAAATTGTTAAAACAACAATATCAAGCTAAAGAGAGAAATTTTCTGATAGGTAGTTGAAACGATGTGAAATATCAATACTTCACTGTAATAAATCTAATGAGAAAATATCCTAATTTTTTTCCCCAAAACTACTCGACGTCAAGACAAATAGAGCATAAAGTTAAGTTCCTTTTAGTATTGCCTTGAAAGAAATACCAGAATTGGTATAGTAATACAGCAGAAGGGAGTCTCACCAATCCTTAACACTCTCTTCTGCAAAAGAATCACGCGGCCCAATCCGGCCATCATGGAATCCTGTATTCCTACCTGGAACCAATTATAAGTACGTCACTCACATGAACAAAATGTTATGTTAAAATAATTAAGTAATGCAACTGAAAAACGGCTAGTAGAAATTACCAGCACCACCAAATAAAGCATGCCTGCCAGTGCCATTGATTGACAAATCCCCACAATCAATAGAAGCCAAACGTGCCTGCTCAGCCATTCCTTCTTGAATCTCTGAGACTGGCCCATTTAGCATACCACCCTTGCTTTCAAATCCTTGTTTCTTCCGTTCAATGTCTAAGAAGTTTCCTTCAATAGATGACTTGCCTATCATATTCGAATTTGTGTAAACTGACCTAGATGGTTCATTGATGCCCGGAAATAATGGATCTCCTGCAATTAATGCTCCAGAATTGGATATAAGGGACAATCGTTCACTGCTTTCAAAACCACTAGCTATCTCATCCATTATAAAAGCCTGTGGTGATTCACCTGAATTAGAACCATAAGACCCTACACCAAAAGAGCGGTTTACACCTGCTTCAGGATCTGGAAGGCCGAAGGACTGATTTGAAGAGCTTGTCCCAGGAAAACCACTGGAAGGTGCCCTTCTTTCATGAGATATTCCATTGCTCAAATCTACTGCTTCAGTAGACTGATTACCTGATTTCAGATGGAGCAGCTCCATAAGCAACTGCTTCGAACTATCGTCATTAGTTCCAGCCGACATCCATAAATTCGGATCTTCAGAAGTCACTTTGACTTCTGACTCCCTTTTCTGCAGCTCAGCATTGAGACGCAATTGTTGAATCTGTGATTCCATCCAGTCATTTGGTATCTGACTGTTGCTTTCTGACCAGTGTCTTTCCATGGTGTCCGAATGTGATAACTGAAATTGGTTGAGACTCAAAGGGTGATTAGAGCGGGTGCCAGAGGAGAACCCACCCACTTGACCAGCGGAACGCATTCGCGCACTTGGTTCCTGCATATCAAAACCTTGAGCATGTGCCAAAGCATTTACAACATCCGGGTTCATTCCAGGAGCACCACCAGGTAAAGACATTGAGTGCTCCAATGAAAGCAAGCCAGGGTCATAAAGGCCCCGTTGGAGAGCATCTTTCAATGAGAGATTTCGATCAAGGGGACCATGCCGCTCCTCAGGGGACAGTCTCCTTTGTTGCTGATGAAATTCTATTGAGCCAAACCCTGCAGAATTAGATCGGTGGATACCAGCAGGACTTCTGAGAAACTGATTGATTTCATCAACAGGCCGGGCAGATCCAATTAGTCTCTCTTCTTCCATTTCCACCCGCTGCCTCAATCCCATTGGCATCTGCCTCGCATGCAACTGCCCTTGGTGAAGAATTTGATGTTCCAAAGGGTGCATCTGTCCATGCTTTGCTCTTGATACAAGCTCCAATAAATCACTTTGATGCCCTTGATGTGGCATTTGACCAAATTTAGCTTGCATAAGATGCTCAATGGATGGATCAGCATGCCTTGGAGGATGATGAGAACGCTGTTGCAGTTCCTGTAGAATGTGCTGCTCTAATAAAACTTTATCAATGGCATTGTTTGCTCTGACAGCATCAGCAAGGGACTGTCCACGGCCAGGATCATGCCCTTGACTGTGAAGCAATTGTTCGAGAAGCAGCTGCTGAGCTTGAGACTGCTGTTGTTCCTGCACTAGCATTTGCTGTTGCTGAAACTGATGAAGTTGCTGAATTTGGTGATGTTGTTGGAGTTGAAGTTGCCTTTGCTGCTCCTGCTGCAGCTGAAGGGCCAAAAATTGTTCCACATCCGGTGCTGTTACGTTGGTCAATTGTTGGTGGAGAATAGAATTTCGACTTGGCACTTGTTCCAGCAATGCTTCATTTAAGTGAGGATGGGGAGACAGCAGATTACGCTGCTGCAGCTGTTGTTGCTGAAATTGTTGTGACAAAAATTTATCTGCTAAATCAAAGTGGTTGGATTCTTGATCCATATGTGACAACCAGCGAGCATCCGTGGAATCTTGATACACGCTGGGGTCAGAAAGTGTATTTCTTCTATAAACATCAGGCCATCTCTCCGCAGTATGAGTTGAATCAGACATTGCACTGAATGGACCAACTCTTCCGCCCATAGGGTTTATGAGTTGATCCTGAACACCACTGACGGAGGGTGTAGCTGATGACTGGTTATGCTTCGCATAAGGGCCTTCAAGCTCAGACCACAACAAGCCAAAAGGATGCAACTTGTTATCATTATGACTTGGCATGGCAGGTTCTGTAGATTCCATTGGAAGAGAACGGTGGTTTATAAAATTGGCAGAAGGATTATTAAGACTTCTAGGAGTTCTCCCAGAAGCATATCCACCACTTCCAGGTCTTCCTGGGAACACAATCTCTGTTGCAAACAGAGAATAAACATATTAGGGCCAGACTAAAATACAATCCAGAAAGTAGTACATTTTATAACACAAATAAAGACAGTAACTCACCTTCATCTTGGCCAGCTAAGTCATGAAAGGCTTGACCCTCTGAATATGCAACTTGCAATGAACCTTCATGCTCAGATCTTCTTAACTGACCACGCTGCACTGACAGACCATCATACTCAGACGACTGCCAGAACTGGTCATTAAGTGCAGATGAATGAGTAATTTCAGGAACAGAAGCTGAAGCAGGTAAACTAGACTCCAATTTCCCTTCCAAACCTCCAGGATATTCTACCATAGAACTTATATCAGCACTACCATGCATATCGCTAAGTTTAAGACGTGGCATGATCTCACCCAGATCTTGGAATGGTGTTCCTTCTGGAGCATCTTCCAAGCGAACAGGCAAATCTGTCCCAAAAAAACCTTGTTCAAACCATGAAATGATGTCAACCCCGAGAAACGGCCCCTGTATTTCCCCTTGTGGATCACAATAGTACAAACTCAACTCCTCAGGTGGGATACCCCTTTTTAAAAGTTTTCCGTTGCTGCTGTTCTCCAAGTGCTGAGTAATTTCACTCAAACTCCGCTCAGAAGAAGGCACAAATAAGGAATTTGAATAATTTGGAAGCTCAGTGCTGACATGAAAAGTAGCAGGAGCAATGTCATTGAACAGAGGGTGTTTCGAAAAATCTGCAACTTGTTGAGAAGCATCATGATGAGCACCATTCATATCTTGTGAACTGCTGACATTGTTACTATTTGTAGTCGTAGATGTCAATTCATCTGTTACAGGAACTTTATGTTCCCCCTCGTGAATAAAATCTCTTTCTGAAACAAATGAAATGTAGTATCTTTGACAAGTTTTCAAATTAAAAAATCTTGTTAAATTGTTAAATGATTTTGTCACTCACCATTTATCAAATTCATTTTAGGCTCGTCACTGTACAAGGTCCCATCAACATCAGCTTTATATACATCATTATTGGCAGCTTCTGGAAAGGTATCGGCAGTTTCTTCACTCATAATTGAGGGAACACTACCCAGTTTACCATTGGTGGATTCCAAATTTCCCAAGTCTGCAAGGAAGAGTCTTAACAGATTCAGAAAAAAAGCAAGAACCCAAACACACGCACACACAAAGATGTACTGCACTGCCATAAAATGAAATAACTTCACCGTTAACCTATGGTACACGGACACTTTAAAAATGTGTGAAGCATCTGTTTCTAGCACACGACACTCAATAGGTAAGGAAAATGTATCTGACACTTTTGGTTGGACATGCACCTAACAAGCATATTCAATAATTCAAATTTATTATGTAATTGCACATAAAAACTATCTTATTAAGTTTTGCTTGTTACATAATTGGTTCAAAACGATTGAAGTGACGGCAATCCACGTCATGTAAAACCATTATTTTACTCTAGAAATATAACTCTAGATAATATGAATATTTAATTGTGCCACGATGTCCTTGGGTTTTGGGTTTGATTAATTCAACGCCTAGACATATACCCAGACCTCAAACAAGTTTTTGTATGGACTTCAGTTACCTGAAAAATTATCAGTTGATCTGCCCTTTCTAGATGCATTGTACAAGACTCCACTACTGGTGATTTTGCCTTTCCATATATCGCCAAGGATAGCCTGAAACCAATGCAAAACCCAATTAATTTGCATTACACTTTAAATTGTCAGGGGAAAATAAAAAATGACGGAATGAAATCAACGACAAAGAACATTTTTCAACATAACATAATTAGGGACAAACAAATTAATACAGGACACCGATTCATAGAGCTTACTTCCTCTTCTTCATCAGGAGAGGCAAAAGCCAATGGTTCAACGAGTGTTACTTGTGTAATAGGAGGTACTTCCTCCAGATGGGTGGGCACAGTAACAAAAGATGGATCAAGTTTTTGCATTCGGTAAATGTCAAGAAGCTTTCCCCTTGGATAACAAAATGCATCGGCTGATGGGCTAGGTTTCCCATGAACAACTTCATTCTTGTCAAAATGAGCAGCACCGATGGGACTTGCAGATGAAAGTCTTGTAACTGCCATGCTAGATCTCCCGCGCCCTAAAGTAAACCCCATATTTGAACCCTCCACGCGACCTCTCTCAAGACTAAATCCAGGTGCAGCACGGTAGGGACCTGGCATGCTAGAATTCCCCTCCATTCTATGGCGTGGCCTCCACTTGTCGCGAGAATCTGAGTCCCGCTCAGAAACAGCACGGTTGCTAACAACAAATGATTGATTGTCATTGTGACCATCTTCCTTCTCAACGTCTGTCCTCTTTTCAGTCCGAGATTCCTTATCTTTGTCTTCAGGACCCCACCTAGATGACCATTTGATATCACGCCGTGTTTCGTGCCCAGAATTACGATTATTAGTATCATGCCACCTATCAGAAGAAGGCAAAGCTCTATTGTCTGTGGTTTCTCTGCCTGAAGAATTGTCACGACGATCCACTTTCCTGCGATCTCTTCTACCTAGCAAGCCAGTTTCCCTTTCTTCTTCACGCCAACGACGAACACTCTCAGTCTCAGCCGTTGTTCTTCGCCAATCTTTTTTGTCCTCAGGCCCGTCTGAACGCCACCCCTCCTTCTGATTGGGATCGGCTGGATTTCCAAGAGACAGAGAACTTGGTGCTCGCATTTCCTGATATACATATTGCAACAGCTAAAACGTGATGAATAATAATGATCAATATAGTTTTCCTCATCAATAATGTAATCAACGGAGTAAGATTTCTATCAACAGAAGTTGAAAACCACAGATATGGGAATCCGTCTAGTCAGCCGTCAGAAGTTGAACCCCAAAAATGTTGAAATGTGAATTCAAGAAGCTTCATTAAATATATTCAGTTTTAACTTTCAAGTGCAAAGCAGTCACAACATATTCTTTCTTAAGAAGCACACTGAAATAAAAAGGTGAAAGGCCCCAAAAGTGAAAGCATACTATCAAAGACAACCCAATGGAATCCCAAATAAATCGTTGGCATTCCGATCCAACGATATTTCAAAATCCATGAGTCACAGGGACAAAGAATAGTTTCAGGATTGAGTTCCTGACATAGCTAGCAGCTCAACCAGGGGCAGAGGCTTCTGTCTGATTACTGAAATATATAGGATATTGGTATTAATATAGACATGGCATTAAGCATCTACTAAATTCCATTGTGATAGTAACAATGTTTCGGAATGGCAAGATGCCTGGGATGTATATAAACTCAAAGAGAGATTGCCTCCCTATCATTTCACAACTGGAAATAATTAAACAAACCTTGCTAATGGGGAATGTTGAAATAAAAATAGCTTGAAAGCTTTGGCTCAGGTAGGGAGATTCAATCAACAAAGTCAAGAGCTTTGCCAAACAGTAAAAAATAAAATAAAAATAGAGAGAGAGAGAGAGCGAAAAGAAGACAATTCTTACAATAGTACAATACATATTTGGTGAATGGAGCTGCACTAAACTGTAGACTCTCCATGATTATGGCAGTGGAAAAGTCAGACCCAACCCATTCATTTTTTCCTGGAATCTTGTTGGCAGGTTACAGTAATCAATTCAGGTCTGGGTCAGGATTTGGAAACATCCCAATTTTTATTTTTTTTAATAAATAAAAAACCTAACTCAAAACTAATAAGGTCAGTACTTGTTTGAATCCTGTCCGGTAGTATAACTACCTATTATGCTTTTGCATCAAAAAAAGAGAAAGAAGTAACAGTTCTGAATGAAATTCTTCATTTTTTGGGGTGGAAGGGAGCCCAATATTGTGAAGGAAGTATGTTGTAAGATGATGTCTGAATAAAACCTATACAAAACTTCACATCTTGCTAATATATCACATTTCCTCCTAGTTTGAATAGTGAGCTTTCAACCTAACATCCTTCAAATTCAAGAGGCAGGCTTTAGGCAGGTTGGACATGTTGCATTCAGCTTGAAGCCATATTTGTGGGATTGATGTCCAAACTGTAACCTATTCAAGAAATTGCTCGGGCTTAGAATGTAGCAGGACCAACCATAACCTTCTCGACAAAGATATAGAAGCAAGCCTTTCAGGTATACCCAATAATTCATCAATTTTAACTAAATTTTATTAGGTACAAATGATGGAGAAGTGAATAGAAGGGGGAAAAAAGGGCTAGAAGAGGCATACATAGGAATTGGAAGCGTTCTTCCAAATTTATGTTTGGTTGAGTGGAAGGGAAAGGAAAGGAACGAGTAACATGTTTTGTAGGAGGGATGGAAGAGTAAGTTTTAAGTTTTTTTCACCATTATATCTCCAATTAACTTAAAATGATTCAGGTAACTGAAGGATGCAGGGGTGTACGAAAGTGTTAGAACTCTTCAAATGACAAATTTTACAATATAGGGATATGTGTCAAAAGTCGGATACGGACGTAGATACATACTACGCATTTAAATACATTATATGTTGTGTTATATAATAATGTTCAAGGTTGTTTTCCTTTAAGAGTATACTCAACAATTATTTAAATTAAATGGGATTTGGTAGGAAAAGGGTTTCAATCTATCTAATTGATAGGGAACTCACCTTTGGTATCAAATTTGAGTTTTTTTCTTATTTTTCAATCAAGCCGTATAAAGGATTAGAGTTTGCAACTTGGGCTCGTGAGTAGGACACATATCCATAACCTATAGGCCTATACCCTTGTCCATGTTGTGACATGCCGACATGATTACATGAAGAAAAATACGAGCTCGTGTAACACAGTCCCCCACTATCTAAATTGCCAGACAAACAAACATTCAACCAGTTTTGATGAAGGGTAATAACCTCACTTCCAAATTTATACACTACCTATCCTTCCTTTCCCTCCTAACTTTGGTCCAACTTTAGACAAAGGCACAATGGTGGGCTCAGAGAAATGCTCCATCTATCATCCTTCATTCTCTCTTCCTCTCTCTTATACCAAATAAAAGGAACCTAGTCCATCCATCCATCAACCACACCCCCCCCTCCCCCCCCCCCCCCCCCTCCCCCCCCCCCCCCCCCAAACAAAACACCCCCATTTCACTTCCCCCACCCCTTCTCGCCATCCTATTCCTTCCCTCCTACCAAGTACCAAACAAAAGCTAAACGAATTAAAATACAATTGTAGATGTAACTCATTAAGAAATATATGGCCTCACAATTATAATATAAAACATGTACAACTCAATCATACACACACTCGAAATTCAGTATAAACGTTGCAAATCAAAAGGTACCACTTATTTGATAGCATGATTTCTTTTACGAGTCAATCGATAAACAGTGTGACAAAAGAACCTCGTTATGTGTCAGTAGAAAAACTAGATTTATTTACCATTAATCACATCTAAAATGATTGTGATTAATTTTTTGAGTCGCATGAAACATTTCATTTCAAATTCTCTAGAATTAATTACAAGTTTTCATTTTTTGTAACTAAAAGACAATGATTTAGGATAAAAGAAAAATTAGGCTAATTTCAGTTCAATAAGTAAATATATATTATTCATACAGGACTAACGTTTCAGGGAGCTCGAGAAACACATTTCAATCACACTTGCTAGGCAGGAAAGGCAAGTTTTTTTACTTATCAAAATTTATTGTATTATAGTCGTTCGTTAAAAACGACACTGAAATGCAAACTCTAACTCACACTGAATAACTAGTCATTCTATATAATCATTCACGAAAAATTTACTTCCAGTACACTGTTTCAATCTATGAAGTATGAACGGAGCAACTAGAATATGATATCCAACTAAGATGTGGACACGTAACATTTGTTGTCGGTGGTTTCAATGCCCACCACTATATAATCCCTCACCCACAAGGAATTTGAAACTATACGGCATGTTGTTTCTGCAAGATTCATTCTGAGGTAGGCCGGTGGCAATGAACTTGAGAGAAACTGCATTTAGTGATCACTGAGCAGTTGTGCTAAGTAAGGCACACATTGCGGTATGACATATAAACCTCTCAAGTATGGAAAATAATTCCAAGGCCTAGAGGTGGACCTTGAGGCATCATCATTCAAGCTCAAATTAAATTGACAGTAGGGTGCAAGTTTCTTTAAATATTATAATTTATAAGCAAAATTATAACAATAAAAGAAAGAAAAAAGCAAGAACAAGTAGTTAAGCAACAAGCAAGTACATATATATTAGCTAACAGAAACTAAAAAAGGCTGATGCATTCCAAAACAAGCATAACTTAATCAAACAAAAGGTGCTATAAAATATTAAAAGAAGACACACCATCATTTTTCTGATTCAAGGGACTGAGCACACATTAACAAGGAAAACTAAAGGCATGCCTACGTAAAAATAAAAAGGAAACATGATGGCATTTTTTTTTTCCTAGTTGGTACTCACACACACTTGTCTCTTCTGAGACTTGAACCCTTGACCTCCCTTTGGGAAGTAAGAGGATTGGTGGAAACATGATGGCATTGAGATAGAGATACATATAATTTTAGTTTTGAAACAAAATATATATAAGCTAATCCCAACATTACTTTGGATCTACAAAACAAAAAAAATATTACACATTTATACAATTAGTATTTCCTACATAGATATTAATAGACAACATGAAACACAAAAAAGTTATTTAAATTAAAAACAGAGCTTTGTTCCCCTGATAATTGAGAGAACTCACCATCTTAGTCTCGCTCGGTTTAGCGTAAAGCCACTGGGGAGACAGGGGAATGCTACTTTCTGCAGTAATAGCATCAACAATTAAAATTCCGTGTGTGCACACAGGACAGAGTGAGAAAGTAAAAAACAGAGAAGACAACAGTGTTCAATTAATTAAGAAAAAAATTCTAAAAAATCAAAGGACAAAAAGGCCAACCTTTTAACTCGTCAAGTGACCCCATCAACCCCTTTTCCTCGTCATTGCCTCCTAAAGTTTCCACTGTTATGGCATCAACCCAAATATAAGGGATAAATATTCCTTCTAGTTCCATTAATAAATCCAGCTTGAAATAACATTATTAAACAACAATCCAGAAATAAAGGCCTTTAAAACCGAGGAAGGAGAAGAAAATCAGCATTTGAAATTACTAGGATGTACAAACCAATAAAATAGCTAAAGACCTAAAATAAATTCTAAACTTGAGTTGAGAGCAGTGGCTGAGGCTTGCTGGCAGTAAATTCTATTAGTGTGCATGTATGTGTGTATGTATGCCATGATAGATCAAAATCTGCGTTGTCTTGCATAATTCCACACCAAGTTAAATTGAACTGTCACCCGATTAGCATCATCACAGGCCCAGGGATCTGGTAGAGTACAGTACTATAGATCTCAAGAATACATCATACTAAATATACTCAGCAAACTAAAAATTTCCTGTCAAATCATCATGTAAAATGAAGTGGCATGGTCTAAATAGTGAGGAATTCTAAGCATGACTGGGCAACACATTTTCTAAACAATATAACACAAATGTTATATATATGCTTTTAAAAAATAAAAAAGCACAGAGAGAGAGAGAGAGAGACTCTACAATAGGTACCACTATCAGACATTATAACTAGAGAGTAGAGTGAAGGACACTGTTTTCCCAAGCCACCATCAAGATAACATTTATGAGATACTCGAGAAAACCTATACTAAGAAATATAACAATAAGCTAATAAATAGAAAGAATTACAAATTTTCGTCTTTGCCCTGGAATTTCTCGGAAACCAAAATAAAGCAAATCAAAGTGAGTAATCATTAAAAATTATGCAAAGTCCATAATCAAAAGGCACGTGATCTGAAATACCACCAAGAAACAAACTAAAAAAAATGTCAAAACCTTTCAACGATTGAGAAGCCTAAAATGCAAAAGTGATGTTCAAAAAGACAAATAAACTACATCCACAATTTTTAATACAATCAGATCAATAAGCCATAATTTACCAGTAACAAAGAAACGATCGAATCCGTCGAATTAGAAAATAAAACCTAATTATAATTGGGAAAACCAAAAGAAGTATTTGCGAGTACCTTTGGCGGTCCAAGACTGAGCAATGGATGGTTTTGGGGAGAGGAGATCGTCAGGAAGATGAAGCTTGCCTCCAGCCATCGAACGATCGATAAGTCGCGAAGAATTGCGAGAAGATCGAGCGAAAGGAAAAGGCACTGATCAGGTCCGAAGCACAAAGAAGAGAAAGTGCGAGAGAGAAAGCTTGTAGAGAGATTGCTGAATGTAGAATCGAGAGCTAAGGAAATTCTAGGGTTTCGAAAGGTTTGTGAGGGGCACACACTTGCACAGAGAGAGAGAGAGAGAGAGAGATGAGAGATGCGAGAGAGAGAGAGAAAAGGGTGAGGGTTTGGGTGGTCACAACAGCCACCCGACGAGTTTTAACCGATATTTTGAACGACTAGTTGTAACCGACAAAAAACCCGACTCAACACGTGTCACCCTCTTCCTCTCTTCTATGTACGCTATGGACAGAGCACAGCCCTCCTGCTCTCTGCCAACCCTTTCCACTCCTATGAATCTATCCACAAATTTTATAAAATCACTTGCAAGACCCTAATCTCTCTACCACAAACCCTAAATTTGTATCCCATATAAAAGTCCTGCCATCGAACCCAATTCTCTTTTATCGGGTTCGTTTATATTAGGCGGAGTCGATATTTTGTCTACTCAAATACAAATAGGGGTGATATAATAATTACAAATCCGTTCAGAAAATAGGGGCATCCTAACTCATCCGCTACCATCCTACTTTATTGGGCTTGGTCTTGTCATGCAAGAAAGCTAGAAAGGAAGTGGAAATAGAATCAATAAAATGTTTTCCAATAAAAATTACTCCTATATTACATTTAAAAAATATATATATAGTTTTACATTTAAAATGATTTATATTGAAACTAAAATAAATTTTTTCCTAAATAAATAAATTTTATTTTTGTGTTTGAAATACTATATAATTGAACATATTGAAATGTAAGATGGCCAATTAGTACTGTTTTTCACCCATGACATATTTACATCTTTAATTCCGTGAGAATCCAATTAAATCCCAATCAACACTGAATAAATTCAATAAATAATGTTATAAAAATAATTCGTAATATTCTTAGTAAGATGTTAGTAATAAACATTTGCCCCGCTAATTCAATTAACAATATCATTAAATTAATTAATGAGTATTTAACTCGAGCTTGTGGAATTTCATATTTATCTCTCCATGTGTTTAGTACTAATTATTCAAAATATTGTGACATTAATCAAATATGAGCCTCACATATTTGTAGATCAAAGCAGTTAAATATTAAAAATTGAGTTCGTTCACCAAATTACTTAAGTAAAAAACTCTCTCGTGTGACTCGGTCTGGGTCACGTGTGTTAGCAGATGAAGTGTTAACTTAATAACAACAATAAATATTAAGGTTTGTCAAATAATAATAATAATAAATAAATATTAAAGTTACAATAAATTCATTAATAATTACATCAAATGTCTAAATAAAGAATAGTCCAACGACATTACATTTTTTTTATTTTTTATTTTTTATTTTTTATCCTGGCAAAGAAAAAACTATACACAACATTTGATATAGATGATTCTCTCACCATTTAGTGAAAGAATCATTTTCTTTACATAAATTTGAGTTTTAAGGCATGTAATCTTATGGCGACTTCAATACCATACCGTAGTTGGAGAGCAAATCATGGTAATTTGTCCTTTTTGTTGCTTATTTTAGGTATGCTTTTGTTACTCGTCCGATTTGTTTTTGTGCAAATACGATGTGTTATTTACCATATATACTGTGTGTGTGTGTATATATCTCACACGAACACACTTAAGAGTCGATTGGAATGATATTTGCTAAAGCAATCTTTTTGGGGTACAGGTAGTAGTAGTTTGGGATAGGTGGTCCTTGATTGGCGCTGGTTTTGACTGAGAATAAAGTTAACTTCAGAGAAAAAAACCAATTTTAGTAAGAACGAACACATTTGATTCAAAGACTATATTGGTGGGAGTCACTCTGCTAAGACGGCTTCTAGTGACCAGGTTCTTGCAGATCTTGTTTTAACAGAATAAACATCCACCACTTTATTATAGCCTATAAGAGTCCATAATACAAGCAAGAAACAAATAACTATCATCAACAATATTTGATTAAAGGCTCGAGTAGTTAAAATATCTGAGACAAAGTTTGTAAAAAAAAATTATTGCCACGTCAGCGGGGGACAAAACATAGCAACAAAATGCTTCTCTCTGCAATTTCCACAAAACAGCGACGGTAAATGTACACTTATTTCCAGAAACAACCAACCTTTCACACAAATCAGCACCAACCTGGAAAGCCAGGACTCGCCATTTACATGTGTAATAATTTCAAAACCAAAATCTGCTCAAAATAGAAATCCTGAATTCACAAAGAAGGTTGAAGAGCCTACACAAGGCTAAGCAGTGGCAGCCATTGGTACAGCTCTGTAACATGCTCTCTTTGCTGCACGGACAATATCTTCAATCTGCACAATTCATAACAAGATCAATAAACAAAGTAACCAACCAATTAAACAAACCAAAAGTTCTCCCTTATACAAACTATGTGACCAGCTCATGCAAGTTCCACTTCCGTCTACCTATTGCATCTTTTTTCCATTACTAGAGTGGTGGGAGTCATAACATTGATTTGGTAGTAGGTGCATGAAAGCACTACAATTTGGACTAATATTCAGAACTAAACCATCCAAAAGTAACCAACCTGGGGGACGGCAATTCTCTCAAGGTTAGCAGCATATGGCATGGGAACATCAGCACCAGCAATCCTCTCCACCGCAGCATCAAGATAACCAAAGCTCTCCTCGACAACCGATGCACTATTTAGAAGAAGCACGCAAGTATACGCAGTTTAGTTGAACAGTATGACCCACCACAACATGGATATTTATGTAAATAACTGTATATATGGAAACGAGATAAACCAGATTTCAGCTCCAACACCATGTTGAGGGAACCCTTCTTCAACTGTTACTAGTCTGTTAGTTTTTCTGACTGAAGCATTGATTGTGGGTCTATCCAGAGGCCTAATTGAACGCAAATTTATAACCTATATAGGCAGGACAAAACATTATCATCTCTAGAACTGAGAAGAGGAACTGCGTGTAACCTAACCAAGCAGAGAGAATAGAAAATTTCTTATAATTCTGCATTATTTTTAGCATCAATGTACCTCTGCGCTGATCCCTTCCTTTGCAAGTATCTCAGCCGCCTGGCCATCAAAGGACACAGTTACATCCAGATGAGGACAAAATTTATTGAACACAAACCAGTTACAATATAAACAAAACGTTCAAAGAGATGCAAAAATAATAATAATAATTCGAAAAATTATATATATATATATCTCTTTATGCCAGCATCTTCATAGAAAGGAGAATATCGATGTTTTTATAAATGCAGAAGGAATACATGTAAGTTCTTTGAGACCACCAATTGAAGGACAAAAACCACAGGAGAGAGAGAGAGAGAGAAGGCAACAATATATGTGCCACCTAACATGGATAGGGACCTTCAGCCCAACCATTTGGCAGACTTAAACTTTAAAGAGATAAATTATATAATGCTATCGCTTCCAAATTTAACGGAAAGGAGGTACTAAAGCAATGCCATACAGGATCACAGCAGTAGATCAACAAAAAGGTGAGTTCACAAAACCATATAGATGGATACTCATCTGTGGGTAATTCAAACCTTAGCACTACATATATCCTGAAGAATGTACAGGTGCATTATAAATTTAGAGATGTATATATTACCAACATTAATAGAAATGAGGGTACTTATGGTACATCAAAGGGGAACAGGAAGGCGGGCCACCACATATTTAAAAATGGTATGATAATGGTAGGTTTATAGATGATATAGCTGGTATGGGATGGGGTAGCCTGGAGTAGTAGTTTTCTGACCCAGATATGAACAACAGGATTCATATTTATTACTGAAGGGCCCAAGTTTAATGTATCATTTTAAGATTTTACTATATTAGAATGAAACATATAAACACATTTAACTATGTCTACCATATAACCCTATTTATGTTGAGCTTTTGATCTATGCTATGGTCCTTTCGTAGTATTCTTCTCTTAAAAGAAAATAAAAGTTAGGTGGAAAAAAAAAAATAGGACTTAGTATCGTAAGTATTGGCAAATTTGTGTAAAATCCTGATTTGAGTTTGAATTCTGTCCAAGTGAAAATAAACTCTTAAGACTAACATTGCATGCATTGAATAATCACGATCACATACTTATGCTCCATTTGGTAGGAGGGATGGAAAGATGGATAGTAGGGAGAGGGATGAATGAGGCAGCCCTAGGGAAGGGACGGTGTTCATCCCTCCTTTGGGTAAGAAGGAAATAGATTTTATTATTATTTTACTAATATACCCTTTATTCCCTCCTTCCCACTTTTGAAATAAATAGCATGCTTTCTTTTATTTTTATCCATTTGTTTATTTTGCGTGTCAACAGTTGATTATCCTAATACTTCAAATTTAAAAATTGAAAATCACAAATAGAGCAAAGAAGGCACATAAACCTGCATCTTCCCTCTCCCCCCCAGGTATATTTCATAGCAAATAATCCAATTGGACATTCAATTTTCAAGAATGTTCGACATAACAAGTTTAGCATTTTGGAAGAAAGTGTTCCATCTTTTAGAACACATGTTCCAAGCTACAAACCATATTGTTTTAGTTCTTCTGGTAGCTATATATATTACACATATTTGCGAGTACGTTCAACTTCAAATTGTCTTGCTTCATGACTTATGTTCTCGACTTGAAGATGACTTCTCATGCTAGTTGCATGCAGATGCTCTGTTCAAAAGGTCAAATGAACAATAATAGATTAACTACGTCAAACCCCGTAGCTACTTGTACAACAAAATAAGTCAGTGCTCCACAAAAACGATGAAATTTGTTGACATGAAGAGGAACGTGTTTACTAGATATATCATCTCTCAAAGCACTTTTTCCAACCAATCGTTAATTTACTGAGGTAAGTGGGACTCCCCCTTTTAGAACTGTATATGTAAATTTCCTCTCATTCACATCACCCTAAGATAAATTGCATCGAATTTGTACTAGAATGTTTGAAACTTCTCAAAATGAAACATCACATCCCAAACAGCTAGAGAAAGTATGGTGAACGAACCTTTAGAGCGTATCCCACCATTTTTGAAAAAGCTGTAATAGTAACATCCTTGCCTTCTCTTTCAATCTGTTAATGGAAGAACGCAAACCGGACAAAATACATAAATAGTGATAAGATAACACATTAAAGAAGAATAACAACATAATCAAGTAGTAGTAGTTAATGATAAAATATAAAAATAAAATAAAAAATAAAGAAAGAAAGAAAAAAAGAAAAAAAGAAAAAAAGAAAGTAGTAGTAGTTAAAAAACCACCACTTATTAGGAAACTATCATAAGCTTCAGGAGAAGTACCTTAGCTTTTCCTATGGGGAGACAAAAGCTAGAATCAAGAGCTTCTGCTGAAACAGGGAAGGAATCACCATATCTGAAGCAAAAAGAATACATTGAATGTGCCATATTAAGCATGGTAAAGACAAGATTGACAAGTTACAAATAATGTTGCATTCAGTGCTCACAGCAACTCATTTTCAAGGAAAACAACAGGATCGGGGTCTCTGATGGCAGCTTTTAGTAGTCCACGAGCATCTTCTGATGAGTATGGGGCCAGCACTTTCAACCCAGGGCAGGAGCCATACCATGCCGCATAACACTATATATTATTCCAATAATCCAAATAAAGCATTATCAAAGGTTCTGTCAGCTGCTGATTTTAATGGGCATATCATGAGAGGGTATTTGAGATCACTAAACTCAACTATTAACGGACTCACGAAGATGTTCTAAAATTAAATATCAGTAGCATCTCATACCTTCAACCCAAGATATTCAAGGTGAAAGGTGACGAAGGAAAATTATACTACCATTTTAGCTAGGATATAAATGTTCATCGTGATCACATGAGACCACCAATTAATCAGTGTCATCCTACTTTCTCCAAAAGGATCACGGAAGGTTGGTTTCTTGTAAAAACACAGTTGTTAGTTCACGAGACCTTCTGTTTCAAATGGCATGTCGGAAATTTTTTGACAAATGTCTACTTGCATATCTCAAGTTCAAAGACTTATTTAAGAACCATCTGACATGCAGTATTTAAGAAATGCACATAAAAATTTTTCCACCATGCCCTTTTGTAATGGGCCCCAATGTGAGTTTCCTCATTAGGTTTGGAATATGAGATGCAGAGATGCTCAAAACAAGTTACTTTTGTTTATGAAATGAGAGCTAACTAACAATAGATCTGGAAAAAAACTGAGAAACCATACCTGGGAGTGTTGGGCACCAACACCAGCGGCAGCACCATTTGGTCCTCTAAACACAATAGGCACATTTATCTGGCCAGCAGACATGTAATTTGATTTTGCTGCAGAGTTAATGATGTGATCAATTGCCTGCAAACAAAAACAGAATTTAGATCGCCCAAGGGCATTCATTGTAAAGGAATGTGAGAAAGACATATAATAGATGGAAAAGTGTTCCTTATTGAATAAGTTCCACATTCATTCACTTGGCTGTCAATCAAAGCTGCAAACTAAAACATTCATTCACTTATATGTGTGGACACCTCCTAACTGTGTAGAGGTGTTTTGAGGAAAACCTTGAGCATCGAGAGGAGAGTGTGCAAAGCAGACAATATCTCAACAGGTAGGGCGGTTTGTGACAAATGGTATCAAAGCCAATCCTCGGTCAGAAATGGGGGGAGCGTGCACAAGCCCATGAGGGTCACGCAGCGAGGACGCTGGGTCCCAAGAGAGGGTGATTGTGACTTCCCACATCGCTGGGGGGGGGGGGGGGGGGGGGGGAAGTTTGAGGTTGTTGACACTTATACCTATGGAAACCTCCTAAATGTGTAGACGCGTTTTTAGGAAAACCATGAGCATAGAGAGGAGAATGTGCAAAGCAAACAAATATCCACACAATGTGGGCCGGTCGTGACAATCACTTTGAATTTGACAATTGTCATGATAGTTGGAACAAACGCTTGAGTCTTAGAAAAAACCCACAGGAACTGACTCTAACAGCATTGATTAAATATGTATGGGGAATGGGATCTTTTCATAGCGTTAACTAAATATCACAATTGCTGACACAACACCCATGTCGTCTCCAACACCACTTAACAAATAGAAAGCAGAAATAAATTCACATTCATAAATAAGCAGAATAGAGAATGCATGGTGCATTATTATTATAAAAACAACTGGTAAAAGTTATTTTTATGTATTTTATATCTCATAATGCCTAATTGCTTCCGAACAAATAAGGTATATGCTTTATGTATTACTTGCACAATCAGATGGCATACCAACGCACAAACATATACAAGCCGTATTCCCCATCCAGATGTTGAAATATTACCAGGATACAAAGCATGAATTAGGGGTATCTATAACTATACCCTTGGTGGTTGAAGTAATAATCCAATCATTAAAATATTTAGATGATAAGATACATATCATTTTTAGAAGACAACTACATGGCATTTGATGGCATGACTATGTTATCGTCGTCCTCAAATGCTTGGGCTATGTTCTACGATTAGGTTACAACATGTTGCCCTCGTTTTTGGACGTCAAAAGACCCGTTAGTATGATGGATCAGAAATCCAAGCAATTGTGGATCAACCAGCAAAATGATATTATCAAATTGTAACATAGAATTTTTCAGTACTAGATTTATATTCCAATATCTACTGTATTCTTGCTGGACGTTTTGATTTTTTTTCTTTAGATTTTTTTTTATTTAGATTCTGAAGTGATTTTATTCTTTTTTTTTAACTTTTGACTTCTAAATCTTCAGCTAATTGCCTGATCCATAGCTATGCTCTAATTTTTTTCTTAATATAATTATGTACCTAACATTCTTCAAATCTGTGAAAATCTGCCTCAAAAATCTCAGAACAACATGGCTGCAGCACCTAGTTCATCAAAGTAGAGATGCCCATGGCCATGGTGGGTTAGAAATCCATGCCTATTGGTGATCAGCGAGTGAATGAATTGTACGGAAATTTGATATAGAATTCCTTTCAATGCTATCAGTTTTATATTCTAATCTCTACTGTTTTCCTATTGAGTGTTTGGAGTCCTCTTCTTATTTAGTTTTGCTACGTGTTGTTTTTATCTTTTTTAACGTCTTCTTAAAGTATCTGATCCACGATTATGCCCCCAATATTATAATATATTCCTGTAAATTCTTCAAATTGCGGAAATCTGTCTCCAAAATATTTGATTATTCCTATCTACTTTAATTTTTATCATTGTTCATTTTAAATAAGATATCATGATGTCATGTGTCAAAGCAGTTGCCTACCAATATCAATGATGATGTGATGAACAGTCCAATTTTAAAAGCATTATGCAGAATTACTTATAAAATAAAAAATAAAAATAAGAAAAGCATTTGCAGAATCACATAGCAATGATAGCATAACTCTAACCTGCATAGAGAAATTAAACGTCATAAACTCCACAACAGGTTTAAGACCATAATAAGCAGCACCAACTCCAATCCCAGTAAAGCCAGCCTATAAAATATGCAACAAGAATGTGGTGAGACCATGCAATAATGAAAGAAAAAAAAACACACACACACACATATATATATTGTTGAATGATTATAAGCTTATAATGGACAGGTTTACTCAAAAAATAAAGAAAATATTAATAATTTGCTAAATCAACCATGGAAGTAAAGAAGAGTAAATCAACAAGTCAATTAACAGGAACAACCTCTGTGATTGGGGTATCAAGAACCCTCTCTGGACCATACTTCTCCAAAAGCCCTTTCGTAATCTACAAAACATAAAGTTGAATTCTAAATAATAGATGACCATAGAATATAACATAATGATCTTCATAATAAGAGGAGTGGGTGAGAGAGAGAGAAGAGGGAGAGGGATGATGTCCAACCTTATATGCACCTTGGTACTCCCCAACCTGCAATAAGATTATGGAACATAAGAACAGAAAAGGCAAAGAACAAATTTTGTCAAATAATTCTGATTTAGATACTTCGATCTCCTTACCTCTTCACCCATTAGAAAGACCTTAGGATCAGCAGACATTTCCTCATCAAGGGCAGAGTTTAAAGCATCTCTCACTGTCATCTGCAATAAATTACAATTTTAACGGAGAGTAAATTTATGTTTTCCTAAGAGTTAAAGTAGCTGCCTGGAATTTATGTTTTCCTAAGAGTTAAAGTAGCATGACCCCAGGCGGCTATATAATTATAAAAGGGAAAATAATTAGCTTTTCAGGTAATTCAGAGAGATAGAGACTGAAACAATTTATAATAAAAAGCAATCATTTCCAGAAAGGATTTGAATATGTCAATGCCTGAAGCTTATGGGAATAAGGCAAAGCTATATGTGAGCTTCAAAGCACACTTCTGCCAGGAGGACCACGTCCAAGAATTTAATTATATCTAGCAGGGAAACTTAATTTTTCTGCTTTCCAGCACATCAAACTACAGAATTTCAGTGAAGCAAATAAAAAATAAAATAAAATAAAAATGAAGGGGAAAAGGAATAGAAAAATCTTTTTGACAGATTGACGTGGGGGGAAGGCATCAGAAAATGGAGAACCAGAGCTCAGTGAGGGGAAGAACGAACTTCAGAGATGGTTGCTAAAGGTCAAGGTAAAGAACAATTTTCTTTACTGCATGATGTATTTGACGGTGCATTTAATCTTAAAAAAATGAAGACGGATCTAATTACAGCAATTAGGGGTGTACTAGGCATAGTTGTGCAGAACTCTGCAAGGCAATAGCTCGTCATAAATAAAAATACAAGACTCACATTTTATATAATTTTCCCACATTTTTACAACAACTAATCCCAGCTATAAGGTAATCAAAATGAATTTATGCAAAAAAAAAAATTGTCCAATTACATAAGCTACAATTACCTCCTTGGCGGCAGATGAGTAAGTCCTCAATATCGATATTGGAGCCCTTATTCTCTGCAATGACTGTTCTAAAATCTGATGTAAATGACAGAAACAACTACAGTTGTAATAATTATATAATTGAATCATACAACTTATACACAAAATTTTAAATTTTTTTTTTTCAATACGAAACAGATGTTTTTACCTGAACAGGAAAGCCTCTCGCACCAACTTTTTGCCTTACAATCCCCAACATGTTTTCTTCTTTGACTCAAGATTGCACTGTGTCTCTCACAGAAAACACAACAAATGAGACGATCTCTCAATATTATATAATTTTATATCATAGAAATCATTATAATCCCCATTTTCGAATTAGGAACGCAAGAACGTGATTTGTAATAACGATAAGCAATCAAAAATGTGAACAAATGCGTGACTATTAAGCATTGTTTTCAATCAATTAACACGCGCATCAACATTCAAACAGATCCGTGGCTGATTAGGAAATCTATGGAGTTATACGTATCTGTATGTAAAGTGATATGACATGAAAAAGTTTATACGATCGAGAAAATAGGTCGGAATAGAGAGCTACCGGTCGGCGTAGAACGGCGGCGAGATGTCAGCAACTGTGGATGGAGTCGACAATACTTGAAATCTATATATTACCTCTCTCTCCCCCACACACACTTTTGCAGATCTTTAATTCCACTTCATATTTGGTTCAAAAATGGACAACTTACGTCTGTCATCTTCCAGAGGTCAATTACCCTTCTACCCCAACGTACACCTAGAAAAAAAAAAAAAAAAAAAAAAAAAATACATAATAAATTCTTAGTAAACTATAGAGATTTTGTGAATCTGCTTGGGTCTGCCACCTGTCTTACTTATGATTTTTGTTTTTTTGTTGGTCCAACTTATGAATTGATCTGTGAGAGATTAATAGGTAGTCGAGAATAATATGCATTGGCCAATCACGAACTTATTTTTATAAATAAAAAATATTAAATAAAATTGAGACATTTACTTATCTGACATAAATTTCTCTGAGTCTTAATTCTGACTTACATATAATAATAATTTTTTAATTTAAATTTTTTTTTTTAATATCTCGTTTTAGAGATTCATGATGTAAATTCTTATTTACTTATTAGTGAATAATTAAAGGTGTATAATTTTTTGATGTCTTTGGATTTTCAAATTCAAAAGCATGTCATGATTGTTCAAATTATTTATTAAGTGGATTGAAAGCTATCAACTTTTTACTTGTTGAAGGCTTCGATTTGTCCATTTAGTGACATAGGCTGCCTAATTCTGAATTTGGGGAAGTCAAAAATCAAAATCTAATTGTCATTCGGGCTAGTTATATATTCAAAAATTTATATTACTTTTGGTTCCGTTTGTTTGAGTTTAAGAAAAATAGTTTATGTGTGTTTTTTCTACTTGGTTGTCATAAAATATTTACAAAAAAAAAAATATTAAAACCTAATAAAAATTCACTTATTCATTAATTTTCAACAAACTATTTTACAAGTCTCATCCAATAATAAAAATATATATATTTATTTATAAAAAAATAATATTTTACAATGTAAATTTTTTAATCAGACTTTTTTTTTTTATAAAAAAAATGACATCATTTCTCGCAAGGTAAGAACATTTAGCCATTTAAGGACTTTAAACTTGATTTTCACATGGTTTCATATAATAATTTCATATAATAATATAGATGTGCTTGGTGAGGAGTTGATAGTTGGTGGTGGTCAAAAATGGAAACTGAACTCCGAAGTTGACAAAAGCCGTTGATTCCAAATGTTGTGCGACTCCCATTTCTATTGGAAAACCAAAATGGTAAAATTACACTAAGAATAATTAATTGAAACGACAAAAACCCAGGTAGGAGGGTTTCGATAGCATGCGCCCACCTACCACTGTGCAAGTTAGTGCTATATTTCTCAATGAAATTAGGGGACCCGCTTTTATTTATTTATTTATTTAATAAAGTCAGTTCTGATTTCTGAAAGCTATGTATCTTTTGTCAACCACACAAAATTTTATACTGTTTTGTTCTGAAAACATAAAAATTGTTCTGAAAAAAAAAAAAAAAAAAAAAAAAAAAAAAAAAAAAAACTGATACAAACATGCTTATATTTCTTATACAATTTTGAAATATCCATTTTTAATAAATAAAAATCCAATAATAATAATAAGTGCAACTTTTCTTTGACTATAAAAATTTAACATCTGCAATTTAAATGTTGAATCTGTAATTTTGGATTTCGCTTAAGGGTAAAAAATTTCAATTAAACAAAAACTTTGTATACAGTCCAACAAGACTCTTGTTATCTTTTAAAAATGATAGAATCTCTTCTAAAAATATTTATCTCAATCACTAATTGTCATATTAGTCTGTCTTTTGTATCCATGATCAAATTTATCATTTCTCATTTTTATTTGGAGAGTATTTAGCTGTAACTAATAAGTGATAATTCAAGTTATATGTATATTAAATTTTGATTCCTTTCCAAAGCAAGTGATTCAAATGTGTGATGCATTTACTTACAAAATCACTACCCATTTGGCGTATAGAATTGGTTTTTTAATTAAATGTCTCGATAGTCCAATGAGTTAATACTTTTAGTAAGTTTTAAAGTATCAACTCTCTACATTTACTAATTCAACTTCTAATACTTCCTGAAATAAAATAAAATAAAATAAAATAAAATATTGATCGCTTAAAACGGAAAGACAATTAGTTCAAAATGTTAAATTAATTTTCTTTGCAACAACAGTTGACACCATATTTAATTTTCCAAATACATTAACATCTTAAAAGATTAATTGGTTTGTGAAAAGGGAATACCTAAAAACTTGACCTTCATAAAAGCTATTAAAGCTGCTGCTAAAATTTGGTTGAATGTTTAATTAAGTGAAAAATGATATATCTTTTAAATTTGATGTTTAATTAAGTGAAAAATGATATATCTTTTAAATTTGAGAATTTCGAAGGAAGGTGATGTACATGTTTAATCGTCTTAGGCCAACTGGAAGATTAGGTTAGGCAATGGGCTTGGCCTATCTGAGATTGGGTTGGGCTTGGTGTGTGGCCCTTGTTTTTGTTCTTCATTATCGGGCTTTGGCCTTTGTATATACATCACATACTCCCCCCCCTCCCCCCCCCCCCCCCCCCAAAAAAAAAAACACTTTTTCATGAATCGGTACTCTTTAATGGGTGAAACCTTAGGTTCTTCCTTAAGGGTCCATTTGGTTAAATTGAAATTTATGATAGAAAGTGAAAGTGAAAGTGAAAGAAGAAAATCAAGTTAACATGCATTTGGTTAGCATGAAAGTTTTTCAATAAAAATATGAGAAAATATGATTTTGTTAATTTTGGTAGGATAAAAGTGAAAAGAAAGTTATTTTATTTACCAAAATTACCCTTATATGAGTTAAAATTTAATTGTGCAATGGATAATAAAAAAAATTATAATAAAATAAGGCAATTAGAAGTTGGATTAGACATAATTAGATAGTAGAGGCTCAACTAAACATTGGATATTTTATATTTTTTCGTTATTAATCACTATTTACATCTATCCAGGTTAAGAGTTGGTGGATTATATTAAAAAATATACACCTATCCTATTTTATTGAAAGAAAAAAAAAAGTTTGTTTCATAAAAATACTTGTTGACAAAGTCACAAAAAGTAGAGTTACTAAAAAAACAAATACAAATAAGTTAGTTGCATAAAATAGAAAAATCTAATAAATAGAAAATTTTTTCTTTCATTTATTTTTTAATTGATTACACCTAACCAAACGAAGCCAGGTTTAAAGCTGTTAGCTAAATGAGAATTTTTACATGTAATGATATTAATTGTGTAAAAGGAGTACATATATATATCACGGTGGACATTGTGGTTGACGTCGAGCAGAAGTCCATTGGGCCCAATTATATATATATATATATATATATCAATGGTGGACATTGTGACCAACCCAACGAAGTCCATTGGGCCCAATAATAAATGTTAAGTAGGGCAGATTGTTATATACTGTATGAAATTATGTATTTTGGCAAAAGAGAGGAAGTGCGTGTCTAAGAGTGAGAGAGAGAGATGGGAGTCGGTGCGTTTTGGGGGACAAGAGTGATGGAGATAGTGAAGAAGCACGACTCAGGAGGTCTGGTTTGGAAGAGAATAAAGCTCACTACCACCCGCAAAGCCAATGCCAAGAAGCGACTTCTCCGTGTTTGGCAGGTCCTCTCTCTCTATATAGTTTACTTTTATGGGGCTAATGTTTCATTTTCATGGCTTTTGTTCTTTATTTGTTCTTATGCTACACAATCTTGTTAGACCAACTAGTTCATGTGAGTGTATCACTTACCTCTATGCTCACTGGCTGTGTTCCCAATTTGACGTCGATTCAATTCCAGTGTATAAATCATTTGCACAAAATTCATACATGTTTTTACAATAAACTAAAATTTCATACCATAAATCGAATAATATAACAGAATTGCAACAGGCCTTCCGTCGTTCAACTTTCTGTTATATTTCAAGCATCCACCATAGGATGAGTCAATGTCTGGGAATATAGAAAGGGAACCAAACTAAAAGTGAGACCATGGAACTGGTGGAAGGCTAGAGCTGAAGGAATTTATGCTATATTTGGGAGCACCAAATCGGTGTCTTGGAATTGCAATTGGATGAAATTTAATTCAATCTTTGAACTAAATTTTGTCCAATTCCAAATCCAATGCGCCGATTCGGTACTCCCAAACGCAACATTAGTGTATGAGCTAGGTTGAATACACCATTTGAAGAGGCAAGCCAGGAAACTGTGTCTTGGTTACCCAAAGAAAGGTTAGGGCTTACTAGAACCCAGTTCTGGGAAATGACACAAAAGACTACGGGGAACTGCCCATTGATTATGACTGATGATGGAACTAACTTTCACATTCAAGCCAGAGGATTGCCATTGAGGTTGATTCTGTCCACAAGGGAATCATTAGGCATGGGCTGTAATTAGGTTTTGAGACACCATAGACTCGTATCTTTGATTAAATAAGAATGAGCACAGCTAAACCAAATGCTCTCCTGCCACTGACCAGTAAAATCCAGATGTGCCTGAGCATAGAAACCTTATTCCACTCTTCAATGTTGGGCAGACCCAAACCTCCATGAATTTTAGGTTAACAAATATTCCTCCAAGCTATTCTGGCTAGGGATGGCAAAATACCTCGCCCCGCCCCGTTTAGAATGGTAATGGGGGTGGTTAAATGGTTTGAGGCGGGGATGGGTGTTAGGATTGAAAACCCGCATGGTTACTGGGCAAGGATTAGGAAAAGTCACCCCACCCCGCCCGTTTATACTTTATAGTGATAAATTACAATTTTGTTCTTATACTTTATTTTTATATTCAATAATTTTAGGTATATGTTAAGCAAATCCCAGTTTATTCTATTCCAATCACTAAATATTTTTTTTTGTATTATTCTTATTTGAGAACTTCTATGTACCGTTGCTATGTTCCTACTATAATATTAAGTCTCAAGTTCCAATTGAGAAGTTGAATCTTGTTTTTATCCGCATAAAAGAAAAGGATTTATTACCATGGTTGAAAAATTGTTTCCTTATTTACATTTGTTAGGTTCATAATACAATTACAAAAGTATTATACTCACCCCGCCCCGTTTAATAAACGGTTTTGGATGGGGATGTGTGTAGCTATGCTAAAT